TTGGGGGTGCGTGCGTTGGTGTGGTCGATCACGTCGTCGAGGTGGTTGCACATGGCCACGAACAGGTCGAAGAAGAGCTTGCTGCCGCCGCGCTCCATCTCAGTCTGCATGGTACCGCTCCTCTTGAATGTCTTGCGACACCTGATGATCAAGGCGAGGTAGTGAGCGCGCAGACGCGAGTCCGAGTCGGGGGTGTGGGCGTAGGCGTACTGGGCGGAGCGCAGGATGGTGCCGACGTCGACGCCGGACTGCAGACCCTGCTTGCGCAGGGCCAGACGCTTGAGCTCCTCGAGCCCGTACCGCTCCGCAGCACAGTAGATGACGGTGTCGCGGAGGATGTGCTGCCCGCAGGCCGCGATGTAGATGGTCGCGTCACTGCCGGGGGCGCCGGAGCCGGCGGTGGTGTTGCTTGTCGTGGTGTGCGCCGAGTTGGGCGTGGGCGGGTAGGCGCCCGGGGCAGGGGGGGCTGCGCGGCCACCTCTGTGGTGGTGGCTGTGGTGGTTATCGGGGTTGGGGGAGGTTTGGGGGGATCCTCTGACGGCATCCTCGAGCTCCCAAGAGTTGCGGTGCCTGTTGTGCATCAGGCGGGGGTAGTAGTCACCCTTATAGAGGTACTCGAGGATGGCGGAGAAGACCTCGGGTTCTTCGTCGGGGAGAGCGATCCGCTTGCTCTGGGCCTCGAAGAACTGACCTCGACAGGCGGCCTCGAAAAAGGGCGACTGGAAGAGGACGTCCTCGTGGGCGGCGAACAAGCGACCCTCGCGGCCGACCGTCAGGGTGACGATGGGCGAGGGGGCGACGGCAGACTTTCCACCGCCGGAGGCCTTGGCCGGCATCGGCGCGGGGCCACCGCGGGGTGCGGCGGCGGCGACGGGCGGGGCCATGGGGGCGGGCTGGTCATCGGTCACGGAGCGCTGCATCTTCGACACCTTCTGGTTGTCCCGGATCGAGCTCGACTTCTTCAGCCTCGACGACTTGTCCACGCGGACGTTGGGGTCTTGCGACCTAAACGTGCGCTTGAAGAGAGACATGCCGGCGGATGTTGATGTTGTGGTTCACGTGTGGTTGCTGTTGTTGTTGTTGATCTGAAGAAGAGGGGTGGTGGGGGGGGAGTGTTGTTCTTGTACTCTTGCCGGGTGTTCTGATAATGAACGAACGATGCTCGAATGGGGGTGTGATAAAGTTGAGAGACAGGGGGAACCGAAAGCGATAGAGGCGCGTTGCTCAAGGGACCTTATATGTCTTTGACTCTATGGGGATAGAAGAGGTGAAGAGAGTGACGAAAGGAGCGAATAGAGGAGAGGGAGGGAGTGATGATGGAGGGGTGTGAGGTCGGATGAGGGGGGGTCGGAGAGAGAGAGAGTGTGTGAGTGAGGAAGAGAGAGAGAAGAAGGACGAGTGACACACAAAAAGATTGACAGGGGCCCGGGGTGGGAGAAGTCTCCTCAGAGGGAGTTCAGAGTGAACGAACGACCGGTTCCAAGGAGATATTCCCAACTTGACTTTGCGACCCTTTTTTGGTTGTGCTGGAGGGGGGGGGGGGGGGGGGGGGGGGAGGGGAGAACAAGAGGAAAGAGGGGTGTTTTTGAGGGGGAGCCGCGATATTTATACCGACTATTGATATTGGTGATGATTCTTGCCTTTGGCGCCGTGCCATTGGCTCTCGTCCCCCGCCCCGACCGCCGCATTTACTGTGAGTGGTTGATGGTGGTGAGCACCAGGCGCGCCATGATAGGACGGCAACAACAAAAAAACACTGGGTTCACGCGCTGTCTCTCACTCGAACGGCGGGAGGGCGGTTGACGCCGCGGGGGATGTGAGCCAGGTACAACCCGACCACTGAGAGTTCATCTCAGGGCTGAGAGGGGGGGTAGCGGCCCAGGGACAGCCCAGGCAGCATCGCCGCCCAAGACAGGCACCTCGAGCAGGCAGGCCTGGCAGGCAAGCAGGGTAGCGCCTAACGGCTGGCCTCTCGGAATGGAACGCTGGTGACACTGGAATGACTTCACTGCCAGTTCACACAACAAGCCCAGAGTCCGAGGACAGACGAGGACACCCAGGAGACGTACCGAAATAGGCGCAGTCGAGAACCTCCAGCAGCCCTCAAGCGCCGCTAACCGGGGGACCGCCCGCTAACGCACCTTAATTGCTGTTAACCTCCTTGGGTATCTGTACCCCCAAACCCATTGCCTGAGACATGTAGCGGTACATCTGTCCGCGTCTCGACCCTGAGCTTCAAGCAATGCGCTGGCCTTGGGTCGGTATTCGTACCTTGCCTTGGATACGCTGGACACAGCACAGGGGGTGGCCAGAAATAGGAATAGCGGCCCAAACCTGGAAACATCAGTCAACACTTGCTGTCGACCGTCGCCCGTTGACCCAGCCATGCGCTGTCCAGTCGCCCGTTGCCGCACGTGAGGCCCTCGCAACGCGGGGCTCTTCTCCTGTGCCAAAGACCTCATCTCCTGAATCTCTTCCCTCATGGACCCCAAAAGAAGGCGCAAGAAGGGCGGTCGGGACCTTTACCCGGGTGTCATTGGCTACGCCTGCTACCGCCGCTGGGTACCGATACATGTCCCGATACATGTCCCGGTGCTGGCGCCGTGCTCCAGGGAGCCCGACCGATAAACCTGAACGTACCTTATCGCCCCCCCAACTGGCCAAGCAACACACTGACAACTTGACAACTCATCGGCGGCTCGACCTTCTGCCCTTCCGGTTGGCTCATCGTCTACACCTTCTGGAACGTACTCTGAACTGCAGGATCTGGACTTCACCTCCACCCTCATTGACCCTCTCCGAATCGTCGCTCCTCGCCCTTTCTCATCTTGCATCTTGTCCGGCCCCCAGTTGTTGTTGAGGACTGAACTTGGAACCCAGGACCCTGACGACTGACGACTGACTCCCCCCCTCCTCAACCACGAACACCGTCTCTTCCCCCTCTGTCTCTCTCGCGCGCGTCGCGTGTTCATGGATACCCTACAGGAACCTCTCGCCGCATCATCGATACCTTACCATGCCGCTTGTCTCTCCTGCTCGTCTTGACCTCGAGATTCCACGACTGAGCTTCCGCCAGCACCATCCATCACTCAACCCGTTGCTTCGCATTGGCCTGACTGCCGCCGGCATGGCAACCTTAACTTCACTAGCCACAACCCAAACGGGAACCCAACGACTGTCCTAGAGTCCCGAGGTGCTATCAAGTCTACTGCGTACTCATGTCCTACTAGCCGCATGAACGGCTGCTGTTCTGACAGTCAGGCATATCGTGGTTTCCCCTCCAAACCGCCATCCCTCATCTCGTCGTGAACCGTGTGCCCCTCGTCCGAACCATCTCTTGCGCGCCCTTGCCGGACTCAGCCTAACATCCCGGCAGAGATCCATCATCCCATCATCCCATCATCCCACCAAGGAATTCCCCCCTCTCCCCCCTCTTTCTCGAGAACCCTTTCGAAGCATGCCATACGCACCATCGTCCACCTTCCAGCCTGGAAAGGGCCACCCCTAACAAGATTGCCATGCAGCTAGTCGGGCAGATTCAGGCACAAAACCACCGCCGCCAATCATCTTGGACCACCCCGACCACCCGTCCCGTCCTCCGCCAATCCATACCCCGGCTTGCCGACTGCTCTCCGCTACTCTTCACTGTCGGCAAGCCCAGTGACCTGCATCACCGCCTCAACACCGCTCCTTGCGCCGTACCGCACCGACCCATCTCTTCCATCGACCATCTCCTCTCCCCGCGCCGTCCCGTCAATGACCAAGATAGCTTGCAAACCCCATCACCCATCACCCATGCCTCCTCCTCCTCCTTTTCTGTCAGTCACTCTTCATTCGTCATTTACTGGCCTCGGCTCGGAAATAGGTCTCTCTTGTTGGAAGTCATAATGTTCTAGGTTATTTCGGAATCGTATCCTCACGCCCCCTCCAAGTCGTTTCCTCCACCGCCTCCAAGGCACTACACCTCCTTCGACTCCAGCCCGATGCATGCCTTAATCCCTCCTGCAATCTGAGGCATCCATCAAGATAGGAACACCTGACAACCACGTATGGCCAAGCCCGCCAGAACCGGGCCACCGCCGTCCTCACCGCCCGACCTATCCCCCCCGCTCATCTCCGACGAGACCCGTCTCGACCGAAAGTCCCTCAGTGGCCCGCTGCTTCGGCAGCGGCGGCTACCCGTCTCGAGTGGGCAGCCCGGGAGATACTCTCCCTCATGCCAATGAGACCATACATGAGCGCGTACACTGGGCAACCGGTCAGCTTTCTCTCCCTCTCAACATGTCACTCGGTACCGGGTTACCCACAGATGGGAGCAAGAATGACAAATCCAATCGACGCTGCCACCACGGCCTCGCGCGATCCGATCACCTTCTGGTCGAGCCAGTAGAAGGCATCGGCGCCGGTCTCGATCTTGCCGATGGCTGCCCAACCGAGGTAGAGACCCGCGAAGAAGATGACGCCCAATGTGTGCGCACCAACAGCCTGCACGGTGGTCAGTCTTGTCAGCCGGCACTTGCCTCCCCGAGTTCGGCACTGGCGTCACTCACCAGAGGGCGCTTGATGCTGTTGAGCCAGAATATCTCGAAAAGTGCAATGACTGTCGAGACGAGGAACAGGTTGATGATGACAAAAGCCTTGAACCAGCCTTCACCAAAAATCTCCGTGACTAACATCAATTCATTAGACTTGGCCATACCAATCAGAAAGGATGACTCACAAGGTCCATGTGGTTTGCCCTTATTGATGTCCTCCAGGCGAGTCATCTCAAAGCCCAACGACTGCTCGTACATGCTCGACGCGTGCGAGCCACCAGAAGGCTGGGGCTTGGGGGGCTCGGCGTTCCCATTGTCGTCGTGCGGCAGCTGTACAAACCAGTAGAGGCAGGTGTTCATGAAGGTGAAGACAGTGGTGACTGTGTAGAACATGGTGAAGTAGAACTGCTTGCGGAGGCTGGACATGTCGTAGGGCAGCGACGACAGTCTGAGCAACCAGTATTCCTAGCCACGGTTGCTGTCGTCAATGTGCGGGTGGTAGAGATGGGTGTAGGTCCAACCCTGGATGCAACCCATGTCAGTCACTGCAACACGGACCACGACGATGATTCGTACCAGCACTACCAAGTGGTAAATCAAAAGCAGAGAATAAGTGACGATGGAAAAATCAAAGACGACGCGCCAGTTCGAGTACGGCGACTTCTCTCGAAGCTTGTAGTCGAGGATCATTGCACCGACTGCGGTCAAGTAGGCAACGACACCTCCTCGAATCCAGCAGAGGGCGTTCTGCGGCAGACAACGCCATGGCGAGTGGCATGCTCTCAGGAATGCAGGCTGGCAATTGATTGTAAGCCAAAGCCAGGAGAATGGCCAGAGGATGGGCGAGGAACTCTTACATGGTCTTGGACCTGGCCATAGGCGGCTGGCGTGGGCAATCCCTCGTCGGCATGCCCGGCCTGGCCGTGGAGCAAAGGCGTTCTGACGGAGGCGTCCATTGAGGTGATCCGGAGGCTGGCAGAGATATTGAGGAAGTGTCAGGGATTCGATACCAAAGAGATGATGGAATAAGAATCGAATCCAAGAAGTTCAGCGTGGATGCGGCTGTGTTATTGATGAAGGTTGAATCAGCAAGCCAAGGATGAGGTCTGGAACGGGATGTTGGTTCAAGAGGTCGGCGGAACAGTCGAAGACAAGAGGTGACGAGAGGAGAAGTGCTGAGAAAGTGCAGCCCGTGCCTTCCCGCGCTGTGAAAATTGAGCCATGGCTGCCGTTGGGGTTAATGATGTTCACGGAAGGAGGCAACTGCACTAGGTAGGACGATGATTGACGCGGAAGGAGTGGGCTCTGTCATGAGGCGAGGCAAGAGGTTGTCGCAGCCTCCTATATTGGGCTGCACGAAGATGAATTTGGAAGGTAATTGCATCCAGGGTACTAGGTAAGGTACGCTGCATCTAGCCGTTCTGTCTTTCGATACGTGCAGAGGAGCTGTCTATTCAATCAGCAAGAACACAATGGAAGCAAGAGAGTCGACAAGGTCATAAGTAGCATGGGCCAGAAGTGCTTGCCTCCCGTGCCTATTCTTGTGAGATACCTGCAAGAGCTGCTGGGGTTCGGTAGAGAGATACATTACAATTGAAACTGTCAGCTAGCCGGCTAGAGTCTGGGAAGGTACAGCGGCGACTCTGCTGGCGGCCCTCTTCGGACCACGATCTTGGGTGCTGTTGATGGAGGGCATTTGCAGCCGTGTACCTGACCTTCGGCAGGTCAGACCAATCCACCTTACGTAAGTCACGTGTTCCACCCTGGGTGACATATCCGTGCATGGGAAAGAACTTGACCCATTTCTTACATTCAACTTCGCAGACAGTAAGGCAGTGAACCCTCGGGCGAGCCTTCCACCAGCTACACAGCAGTTGCATTCAATTCGCGAGGCAGTGAACCTATCCGGCGAGCCTTTGCACGCAAAATGTCTTCAGCGCTTGAAGCTGCAGGTTTGTGCCTTCTCGGATGCTGCCCCTCTTGCCGTCATTCTCCACCTCCCCCTGCTTTGCGAGGACAAGAACGTCCCTTACGTCTTCGTCCCTAGCAAGACGGCTCTTGGAAGGGCTTGCGGTGTCAGTCGCCCAGTCATCGCTGCCTGCATCACTACCAATGAGGGAAGTGAGCTGGCTGGTACCATCCAGGTGGTGCGAGACAAGGTTGAAAGGCTGGCTATCTAGCTCTCAAGTGATCACGGATTTCATGGGGCGGAAAGGTGCTCGCCGTAAAAGAGCTTGATCTGAGATGATTCTTGTCTTGGCCCCTCACTAGCTATGTAGCTTGCTAGCAGAAAGACAAGATCGACATTGATGGATGAATTTTGAATCTGTGAATTGTGACTGCTACGGATTACACGCGTGTGTATGGACACTGCCCGGCCAGCAAAACTCTTTTCTAGAGCTGGGCTCATCTGCAAGGAGTTCCCTCTTTTCCGGAGATATGTGATGGCCTTCTGATCGAGAGTTTATCAAACCTGATATTCCCATGAGAAGCCGCCGTGTTCTCGGCTGGTTCCAAGCCTGCAGCACATGAACCCAGCATAACGAAGCTCAGGTCGGTCCTGGAAAATAAAAGGTGGTCTGTGCAGATCTCCCGCTGGAAGGTGGGTAGCTAAGGTATCCGTACCTTAAGCACGATAAGATAAGATAGATACGTACCTCCCTCCGTTGACACGTTCCACATCCTGAAGACAAGCGCGTGGCCAGTGCTCTTTGCTTGAAGGTTCACTGAAAGTGTCCGAGGTGCATCGCTGGCCACAACTTCAAACTCCAAGTCCGCCAACCGCACCTCGACATCACGATCCCACTGCTCCTGCCACCGCCGCTCTCACCATGTTGTCGAGTCTCGGAAACCCACGCCAGGCGGCGTCGCAGCTGCTCAACTTTGCGCTCATTCTTTCCACCGCTTTCATGGTATGCAGCCCACCTGCGCCTACTGCAGGGCCCTGGCGAACACTTGCTAACTCGTGCGCCGCGCAGATGTGGAAAGGTCTCTCCGTCGTTAGCGATTCGCCGTCTCCCATCGTCGTTGTTCTTTCCGGTAGTATGGAGCCGGCCTTCCAAAGAGGAGACTGTACGTCTCCCCCGCTGCACTGCACCAGCTTCCAACCATGCGATGCGATGCTGACCGGACGCAGTGCTCTTCCTCTGGAACCGAAACTTTCTCCAAGAAACGGATGTCGGCGAGATTGTTGTATACGAGGTGAAGGGAAAGAACATTCCGGTACGGGACAGCTGCTTCAATCGACGCTTCGTGCGTGCTGACGTGCCCTCAGATTGTCCACCGTGTCATCCAAAAGTTCGGCTCTGGGTATGGCGCCCCTCCTCTGCTGCTCTTGTCATTGCATTGCTAATTTGGCTCGTCGTCATAGACCACAAGCGAAGCTACTCACGAAGGGAGACAACAATGCGGGTGCGTACTAGACTTGGGCGAGCACCTTGCGGCGGTAGCTAACAGGAAATCAGGAGCCGATCAAGAACTGTATGCCAAGGGCCAGGACTTCCTCGTACGGAGCGACATTATCGGTTCAGTCGTCGCATACATTCCCTTTGTCGGATACGTCACCATTCTCCTCTCTGAGCACCCATGGCTCAAGACGGTGATGCTGGGAATCATGGGTTTGGTCGTAGTACTGCAGCGGGAGTAAAGCCACAGACGGACAAAAAGTCGATTAGTTCTGCATTCATGGCGTTATGGGTTGGTCAATACTGATTATCAACAAGCGGAGGATGTTGAATTGTTGTGGCAGGGACTGGAAGTGGTTGCACGCCACAACTTGGCTGCTATCGGGATCTAGATGAGTTCACCTGGTATCACGATCAGCATTGCACGCCCTTCGTGCCCTAGGGGCGTCGTGGCCGAGTGCTGTTCCAAGTCCCATACACTTCTGGTGTCGGGCGCCAAGACGTGATCTTGGAAAGATCTTCCAGCAATGTGGTTTAACTAGAGCTTGACGCAAAAAAAAGGTCACTTAACTCCACAACTTTCCGGTAATAGAGATGGCCCTTTGTGGTTCCAGTCAGACCCAGAGCCTCAGCCGCACATCATGGAGGCTGACCCCTTGCTTGGAGCCAATTTCCACACAAGTCTGGAGCGGTAGCGGACATATGTTTCTCTAGGCAGCCAGCGGCGCCGCTGACAGGGTTTCTCACGAAAATCCATACGAGAACCAACGGCTCTACCCAATGGCACGACCCTGATCAACGCCACTTCCAAGGGACCCTCCCTCTTTTTAGGTCGCGAATGTGACTAGGCAGGATCCTTCTGATCGCGCGTGCCAGTGCTTGTTGGTTACACACGAGCGGCACAGTCGTGCAATAAAATGAGATCCAACTGCCGCAGCAAATTTTACTCAGTTCGTGTCTCTTAGGTACTTTTCTGTCGATAGCGTCGCTCTTTTTTCAAACTGCCCTCGGGAACAATCAGTCTTTCGTTCGCACCCTTCACGTTAGTCCTTGTCCGTCATCACCAGACCTCCCGATTTTGGACTCGTCAGTCCGCGCATCATGTCTTCCCCGGCGCATCAGTCGCAATACGGCCTTCAGGGGTACCAACCGTACGAACATCAAGGTCACCAGCGTGTGATCCCCTACAGCAAGCCATGGCACATTGCCAAAATCGTGATGCGATGTTCCGACATCGTCTTTAGCTTAATCGTTATCGGCATCTCTGCATACGTCCTTACAATTGCCTTCTCCGGCGGCGCATTCTACGTTATGAGCTGGCTGCCGGTAAGCCGCCGTAGCGCTTCAAGTCCACTCAAAGTTTCGAGGCTAATATCTACCTTGCAGGCTGCGGTGGCTATCATCTGGGACACTGCAGAACTCATCACCATTTGCGCAAGAGGAGGCCGACGAGGAATTCACCCAGGCGCTCACGTTGGCTTACACCTAGTCTTCTGGCTCTGTTTCGCGGCAGCAGTTGGCCTTCAGGGCACATACATATACTTCCGAGATGTTGATGACTATTATTATTCTTATAGCAGCAGACGACAGTCCTTCTACAGGACTAAGGTGGTTCCTATGCAGAACACCATTACCGCCTTCACTGCACTGCTGCTGTAAGTCCATGGGACCCTCTCCTTTCGCCGAGACTGTCGGAGCTTGTGTGCTAATCAACAGCGACAGCATCAACCACTTCATTCTCTTTGTCCGAGCCTGCGTAGAGACCAACCAGCGCAACTCTCGGCCGCCTGTTTTCATGGTGCCCGTCAACGCGCCCCCACCCATGCAAAGCCAGGCGGTAGCTGGATCCTATGTGCCCTACCCCCACCAACCTCAGCAAGCGTACATTCCAGCGCAACAACAAGACAAGGGAGAACAGGCGGCCGCATCCAACCCTTCAAACGCGGGGCAGTACGTGCCACCTGGACCGGATGGCACATATTATGGTCCGGCTAGTCGTTAAGGTGGTGATATATAATCTAAGACTGTTTGTGGGAAGAGCGAATTATGATACCCCGCTGTAACGTTCAGGCTCGGTTGGCGGTTGAAAGTGGTGTAGTTTGGCAGGACAATGAGAGTAACAGCGCCATCACGGATTATGATGGCAATATGGTGTGGTTCCCTGCCCGGGTGCCAAAAGTGTTTAAAAAAAAATGACGACTGTTACTCATCTTCTGATGTTGAATTCAACGTCCCCTCTTGCGGGTACCTCACCCGGCTTTCAACATGTACATCGGGCACTGCGGTTCTCTTGCATCCACCAGGGATCCCGAAGTCAACAACAGGTTGAAGTGATGAGGGTTGAGAAGTAAAAGATGGTCATATTAAAGACTCGTTTCATTAATACTACTTTGGCAAATATCACGCTTTGTTGCTGCGCTTAGGTGGACCATTGCACGTCAAAGTCCTTGAACTGAACGACAAGATCGTCCTTGGCATCCTTGGCGGGCCGGGCCACCAGGGCACCAATAGTGAGGTTCCAGTCCTTGCCTGATGAGTCGTCGTCGCCGTAGACCCAGCAGATCTCGCGCAGCGGCTCCTTGGTGCCGTCTTGTTTAATGTAGTAGACCCAGAAGCCGAGGCCGAGACCATCGCGGCCCTTTTCGATTGTCACGGTGATGCTCTTGGAATCCTCAAAAGCGGCCAAGGGGGTGATGCTCCAGTCGGCCCAGCGGTCGCAAGAGACTGTGCTGAGCTGAGGTGTGCCGTTGTAGTACTCCAGGCCGGTCTTGATCCATCTCCGTTCGCGAGTGCCGGAGACGGAGTCAAAGGTGAAGATGAGGCCGGCTTGGTCGTATTGCTCTGACCAGTCTGCTGAGAAGGTGATTTTGGCGGACTTGAACTCGCTCAGGTTCTTGGCTGGAAGAGCATGGACGGGGGCTGCAATGGTCAGATGGACTTCTTGAGATGGCATGAGTATGTACAAACCGTTGTAGATGTTGGTCGTGGGGGGCTTCTTCCAGACATCAGTGCCGGGGCCGGCAGAGAGGGTGAAGCTGTTATTCGACATTGTGAACGTGCCTGCGTCAAGGGCTAATGCGAGCTGAACGTGAAAGATGGCTGTGAGGTAGATTACTGGGTATTAAGGGGCTGAGGATGTTTCAATTGGAATCAAGGGTTCAATGAGCAAAAGTCAGGTGGGAGGTTACGGGAATGCTGGTTTATATAGCCTAAGATGCAGGACTCATGTGGACTTTGTAAGACGCTGAGATGGTGTGAGAATTAAGTTGACCCGGGCTGCCCCGCATCGGGGATGCAGCAGGATGGCCGCCGGGCGTCTTAGGTGCTCGACAAGGTCCACGCGAGATACCTCCATCTTAGGCATGACAACGGTCTTGTGGGCCGGTAATCCGCCATGCTTCTTAGAGATTGTAGATCAAAAGAGGCACGGATGTACTATTGTACGGTGCAGAAGAGACCAAATCTGCCTTTGGCAACACATTGAAAGTCCAGGTAACCAGGCTTGAGCTCCGGCCCGGACCTTCAAGCCTGAAGCCACTTGCGCTGCGAATGGAAGTAAACGCAACACATCTGTCCTTTTCGCTTACCAATGTGACTAGGGCACAGCCCGTCTCATGACAATTAGATCAAGAATTGGACAGTTGTCGACATGCGATTGTCCGGTTGGAAGCTTGAAGATGCAGGGGAGATGTCCAAGGTGACTCGGATCAGTTCCACAACGCGGGGCAGAGCGCTGTGACTCGGCCCACGGGGGCCACCTCAACCAACAGTCCGGCTGATCTACGGGGAATTAGGTGGAGACTCCGCAGTAAAACGTGAGCTTTTGGAAACAAGTTTGCTGCGTGGCTGGCTTATTCATGACCAAAGCAGGAAGCACTCTGTAGACTCTGTCAACTCGCGCACCCGGGTCGGTCCTTGTAAGAAGTTTTTCAACGGAATTCATATTCCCAAAAACGAAGAAATAAGCCAACGAAGGTTTGTTTTGTTGTTGTCAGAGTCCGAGTTTGGGTCAGTCAAGTTGCAATGGTGCCCGCTTGGAATCATCATGTGCTGCCGTCGCTTTAACTCAAGGAGGAGCAATAACCAACCGGACGTCGTTTTGGCGCCATTTCACACCGAAAAGGCCTAACTAGAAAAGGAACAAGAGCCAGCCAGCCGCAGCGGTCCTGCTTAGCTAAGGCAGATGTGGTAAGGTACCTCTAGGTAATCAAGTCAAACCGGCCAAAGCAGACGACAACCTGGATGGAGGGAGGCCATCCCTTTAACGTTGAGATGTGACTTTTAGCGCGGTTTTTGGAGGTGTGGACCCACCCTATAAATCTTACCTAATTAGGCTTTGCGATAATAATATGAATGATTATAATATCTTCACTATTTCTATATAAGCGTAATATGTTAACTAGTAGTGAGAATATTATGATTTTTGCTTATCTATAAGTAGATTTAACTAAATTTTATAATAAGTAATATACTAAGAGCTCTTAGTGAAACTTTAGCTATAGAGACTAGTAACTTAAGTACTTAACGCCCTAAAGTAGCCTTACTACTTAAAAAAGGTAGCTACTTTAAGCTCCTCAAAATATATAAATTTAAGTGCTAATTTAGCGCTCTATTAGTAACACTACTTATCTTCTTACTACTCTTTTTGCTTATTAACCTTATTATATATTAAGTAGTATAGACTAACTCTTATATTATAGCGCTAATAAAACTTTAATAGTAGTTTAAGCTGATATTAACTAATAAGATCTACTTCTTTTTTAGGATTTTACTATATATATATATATTAACCTTTAATACTAAATTAAAACGTATTAGTTAACTAGCTACTTTAATATTTACTACTCCTTTACTTAGTAGATTATAAAAGAGCGTTTTAAAATGCTTTTTTAGTGGTTTTACTACTAGGATCTTAATAACCTTAACTCCTCTCTCTTAAAAGCATATATATATGCTAAGCCCTAAGTAGCTTATATTTAATAGGTTTTATAGTCCTTATTTCTCCCTTTATTAATAGTTATTATAGATAAGGGTATAGTTAGATATATAGGCTACTTTAGCGATATAACTATAGTTAAGTCTAAACCTATCCCTATTAGCTATAAGATATAGGGAATCTCTAACTAAGGCTTTCTAACTTTATAGCTTTAATATGCTTATATATAGGGCCTCTAGGGCTTACTTTAATTAAAGAAGGTAGCTCTTAATAATACTTAGAAGGTAGTATATAAACTAGTAATATACCTACTATTATATAGCTATAAGTCTTACTACCTTATTATTAATAACTTATTTATAAGCTTTTAATTATTATGTACACTATATAGTAACCTCTATATTGCTACTATAAGCACTTATTACTAGAATGCTAGTATTTATAAGCTACTTATTAATATAAAGAAGGTAGAAGAGTTAGCTAACTACTTATTATAGGGGACCCTCTATACTGCTCTTATAGAGGACTACTAAGTTAATTAATTCAGTTAGAAGGACCTCTCTTATACTCTTTTTATATTAACTTACTTTATTAGTGAGGAACTACTTATACTTTACTATTATTACTTTCTTAAGTTATTAGCTATATATTTTAAAACAGCCTAAGTACCTTTTAAGATTATTAGAAGTTAAGTAACCTTATAGTTAGCTTTATAGCTATTAGAAGCTTAGTAATAAAGTTAGGTAAGCTAATAAATAGTCTTAGGTAAATATAAGAAGTAGGTTATTAAATATGCTACTAAAAAAGACCTACTGCACCTATTATTTATAGCACTTTATAATAAGAAGAAGGGGGGGTTAATACTAATAATTAGCTATATAGGCAGTATATATAGAGCTATTAGGTCTACTATAGTAGCTAGTAAGCCCTAATTTATAGCTTTAAAGTTAATATTATTATAAGTAATACTTTTATCTATTAATAAGATCACCTTACTATAGAGGGCTAAGTAAAATCTAAGACTAAGATTAAGTAGATTAGAGTACTCTATAAGTCTCTCTTTATATAGTATAGGCTAATAGGCTATATAGAAGAAAGGCTATAAAGCTATATATATTAGCTATATAGTTAGTAATACTATTAGCTTAAGTATTTAAAGCTATATTTTAATAAAGAGGCTTAAGAAGTAATACTATGCTATTTATGCTAGTAAAATAATGCTATAAGGGCTTTTAATAGTAAGGGATCTTAACGTTAAGTAGTATATTAAGTAGTTAACTTTTAGCTATAAGTAGTACGATATAGTTTTCTATAAAGTAAGTAGTTATTAGGATATATAGTACTTAGTAGAGGGCTAAAAACGCTAAAAATAAGGTCTTTTCGATTTATACGATAAATTGATGTGATTATATAAGTATAGTGTTGAAAAATATAGGCCTCTGATTGGTTGAATGGCTTCTGATCGTTGCTGTGAGAAAAACCGCGCTAAAAGTCACATCTCGATGTTAAAGGGATGGGGATTCGAACCGTGGACCGCCGGAACGCTGAAGACTACAGTGGGGATTTGCCCCTTTCGGTCCTCGTCAGTGTCTGAGTCAGCGCTGTGCCCCTCTTCAAAGGCCGTCTTCCAGTGGTCGAGGAAGCATTCTGTGCCTGTCGGCTGCAGTCTTCACAGTCATCTCCGAAAGCAAAGGTGCACCTTCCCCCGCTCGACCATCTCGTCGCCCACCCCCACAAATTTTTCATTTCCCGCCTCACGTCGCCGGCCACCAGTATCTCGTGTCTCGCTGCAGCAAACAGCGGCCAACTTCCTCACCAACCGCGCTTACACACACCCCTACCCGATTTGCTGTCGATTCAAGGAACAATTGCGTCACCGGACACGCATTGAATACGCACAAAGGCGCGTCTTTCAAACTCACCCTCTCTCTCTCCATCTTGAGGCGGGCTGTGCCTGTGCCTGCCTGGAGGGGGAAGAAGAAAAAGAAGAAGAAGAGCCAGAAGACGAAGAAGAACGGGAAAGGAACGACCGAAACTTCGACACTGCCCCTACAATACTTCTGTGCGATCCTTTGCTGTCGCTGAGAATAAAAAGACCCCAAGCTCAACTGCTTGCCTCCGAAGAGCACTCAACTCGCTACCATGTCGTCGTTTTTAACGCCCACCAAGAAGTCGCAAAAGCCCCAAACCAAGTCGAAGCCATTCCAACCCCCAAACCGAATTCGAGCGATTCGCGAGCAAGCCGAACGTCAGCAAGCCAATGCCGCTGCTGCTGCCGCCAATGCTGCTGCTCAAGCACAACTGAACCGCGCCAGACCTGCTACCGTCGCCGTCTCTAAGGGCCCGCAATGTCCGAACAAAGCATGTGTCAAGCCCAACGTCGTCGACGGCGTCTGCCAGACCTGTGGTAGAGTCGCTGACGACAGCAACATTGTCGCCGAGGTTCAATTTGGCGAGACTTCCTCCGGTGCTGCCATGGTCCAGGGTAGCTATATTGCCGCCGACCAAGCTGGTGTCCGGACCCTTGGCCCTGCCTTCCGCCGTGTTGGTGGCTCCGACGACCGAGAGAAGTCCATCCGCGAAGCCCGTTCCCTTATGCAGGGTTACGCTCATCAGCTGAATCTTGGAGAGAACACGGTCAATACTGCCGTTCAAATCTTCAAGCTCGCCTCGCAAGCCAACTTTGTTCAGGGTCGAACTTTGGTTATGGTAGCCGCAGTGTGTCTATACGCTGCTTGCCGTACGGAAAAGCCTTGCCGCATCATGCTCATGGACCTTGCCGGTAAGCACACACGCGTTTCCCTGATTCGAGCACCATAATACTAACAACAAATTGCAGATCTCACACAATTGAACGTTTTCAAGCTTGGCCGAGCCTTCAAAGCACTCAATGCCACTGTCTTCATCTTCGATAACGGCGAAGGACAAGTTTTCCCCGAAGATCTCATTTACCGGCTGGCAAGCAAACTTGAGTTCAAGCACATGACCAACCGCGTTGCCGAAGACGCCATCCGCCTGGTGCAGCGCATGAAACAAGACTGGATTGTCATGGGCCGTCGACCTTCTGGTATCTGCGGCGCTTGTCTTCTGATGGCAGCGAGAATGCACAACTTCCGCCGAACTGTCAGGGAAATCGTTTACCTTGTGAAGGTGACCACACATACCATTCAAGAGCGTCTAACAGAGTTCAATGTGACGGACGCCAGTAAGATGACGGTGGAGGACTTTTTGGCCCAGGACTTCAGCTCTAACTCCCACGACCCTCCGTCCTTCTACAGGAACACCGAAAGCTGGCAAAAGAAGCAAGAGGAGCTGGGCAAGAAGCGCAAGCGTGCTGTTACAGATGACGGAGAGAACGTACGGGCTACACCGGCACCACTGCCTCCGCCTCCTGATCTGTCATCTGCCCCCGCAATCGAGTACCGCCGCGACAAGGACGGCTACATCATTCCTCCATTGCCGTCCAAGATTCAACAAGATGAGCCCGCACTCCGTGACGCGAACAGCAAACAACACTTGGAGACGCTAGCCGAAGAGTTTGGTGATGCAACGACAACGAACGAGGAATCTTCGCAAGCAGAACCGGAGGCCGAAAAGACCACAAAGGCCAAGCCGAAGCTACCGATCAACGAAGCATGGGAGCAGGACGAGAACGAGATGGAAGAACAAATCTCAGAAATCATGAACGACCCCGAGACATACGAGCACGCCAAGGCATTCAGCAACGCTGAACAGCGAGCACGTATCCACTCCATCTGGGCACTACAACAGCAGCCTGACAAGGCTGTTTCGATGGCTCCGGTGGTGGGTGAAGACGAATTTGCCGACGACCCCGAGGTCCTGAACTGCTGCTTGACCCCAGAAGAGATCAAGATCAAGGAGCTTCTTTGGGTCAACGAGAACAAGGATTGGCTGCGCCAATCTCAGGAACGACTCTTCCGTAAGAAGCTCGAGGGCCAGAAGGAGAAGCCCACCCGGAAGCGTAAGAAGAGGCCTCGCATTGGCGAGGGCCAGACAACTCCTGCAAGTACCCCCGGAGAGGCTGCCGTGAACGTCATGAAAGAACGTGGCTTCTCGAAGCGTATCAACTACGACGCCATTCGGCAAATGTTTGATGTCCCTGATCGCGGCGACCCTGGATCTCGACCAGAGAGCGAAGCTGCCAGTCGCCCGACCAGCAAGGCCCCCAGCGTGCTTGATGATCCCATCGCTGATGACGAGAGTGACCACATGGGCGGCAGTGGAGACGAGATGGACGACCATCAAGACGACGAGTTCGGGGGTGGTGATGACTACGACGACATGGGCGACGAGTCACACATGTACGATGACGACGATCAGGGTATGGGCGAAGATGAAGACGAGGATGACTTCGGACTAAACGACGACGACGAGTAGCTTGATTGTTGTGATTGCTGCTTGATTCGTCGTCACTGGATGGCTGCAGGTGGCGAAAATCGGTTGGGAGGCATGTTTTATTGTTTAGATACCCCAAGAGCTCATGGCATATGGCTTCGGCAGACTACAACAGCATCGCTGCCATGCATGTATTTCACGGATAGAGGGTATAGATTGGCCAACAAGAGTTTGTGGTCATTTCATCAAATTAGTTTTTACATCGTATATGTCTGTGTCTATCCATCCACTCGTGAACCCAAACAGAAAAAGGTTGCCATCCCGCAAACACCAAAACCCCCGGACAAAAAAAAAAAAAAGGGAAAAAAAAAAAAAAAAAAAGGAGAGACAAAGAACGTCAACCGTGGGTATATGCCGATGAAACATGCGCAACCATCCAGCGCGAATAATATCCCAAGGAGCGAACCAAGAAATCAAAAGTCGTCATCGGCAGCATGCTCCCATCTCTTGCCACCAAGCTTGCGCACCTTCTTCGGGCTACCTGTGCTTCCAGTGCTCGCGGTGCTCTCGTTGCTAACGCGCAACCGTTCCATCTTCTTGCCCAGGTTGTTTAGCCCGCCGCTGCTGTCTGCCTTGCGGCCTCCAAAGTCCTCGCGCTCGGAAAGCGGCTTGCGCTTGCTGGGGCTCCGGCCGGCGAGCTCGCGCTTGAGAATCTCGTTCTCGCGACGCAGTCTCTCGTTCTCCTGCTCGAGGTTTTCCACCAGTAGGTTTTCTTTGTCCTCGCCAACGTCGTCGTCCTCTGCTACTATGACACCGAGGCCCTTTTCGAAAAGCTCCATTTTGCGATCCCAGTGCTCTTCCCCCTTTTCTTGCTCCGCCGCCAGGGTTGCCTTCCACCGCGCCAGCTCAAGCTCGAAACGGGTGTCGAATTCGGCCATGCAATCTTCGCGCACCGTCTGTTCAAGCTCAATCAGGCGATCCTCCATGCTGAGGAGGTGGGCCTCGGCACACACTCGTGACTCGCGCTCGTGATCCAGCTCGATGTGGAGGTTTGTGATCTCCTCCTGCATGCGAGCAATCTCGAGCGCAGCGTGTTCCATGAGGACTCGGTCTCCGTTGTCAGAGCCAGGGGAGAAGTTCCTATGTCCTCCCGAGCCATGACCGAAGTAACCGCGACGCTGAGGAGGAGGAGGATAGTCAGGAGAAGTGAGAGGCGGGGACGCGTGAGAAGTCAAGGGGGTTTCTGCAAGGATAGTGGACGTGATGCTGGGAATGCGCGGAACCGTGACTTCTCTCGCCAGAGCACTGTATCTGAGAATCTGAGAAGTTGCGTTGAGGTCACCGTGTGCGTCTGCTGTGACTACCATGACGCCGCGCTGCGGGTTGCGACGAACAGCCACACCAGAGGACGAGGTGGAGAAGGAGTTGGAAAACAGGAGCTCCGTCATCTTGCACTGGCGGAACGGCATGACGCTGGGCTGGAAAGGAGAGAGAGGTTAGCTTCTGTCGTAGTATGCCCGGTGTGCAACATGACGTACCTTGCTGTTGCTTCCCAGACTGCTCTGGGCCTGCAAGCATTGTCCCAGGTACATGAGGCTCTCGTTGATCTTGCCAGCCTCCGCAAGGGTGGCACCTTGGGTCTTTGCATCACGAGCACGTTCACTGCCGGCGAGATCGACAATAGTCAGGGCATTGCCAGCCCAAGTCCGGCTGCGGCCGACTCTGGGGCGCTTCTTCACCTCCACGCAGAAAAAGCCATGGCTTCTGGACGACACGCTGTTGCTGCCGGTCCCCGCCACTTGACGCTCATGCAGTCCAGCCTCCAAGACCATAATGGCTTCTCTCATGTTAGTGCAGGCAATCTTCTTTAACCCGGCAACCACCTTCCTATCGGCGGACTGCTCTGTCGACTTGAACAAAAGGGGCCGTCGGCGGTACTCTTTCGTGGCGTTCGACTTGATCGGCGGGGTCAAGAGATCGTAGATCTTGTCATTGTAGACTTCGTACATGGAAAGAACGACGGCGTAGTCGGCATCGGGGTCGGAAGAAACGTTTATGGAGCTGATGTCGGGGGCTTGGGGGAGGTTCGAGGGTCGCTGCAGAGCTCGTCGAGGAGTCGGTGGAGGATGATGTTCGCCCTTTGCGGAAGTTTTAGCATGGCTCTTAGTCTGTGAAGCTGCGGTCATGGTCATGAAGTGTTTCTGCGTATCTTGAAGATGCTCAGGTGTTTGGTGAAGAATGGACATTGAGAATTCATGCGGACGGCGACGTCGTGGCCGACTCGGAGTTGAGGGCACCAGCCGCACACCGCCTACATCCATCAATGGCTGCTGCTGTCTCTTGTTTTGACGCGTTGCATCGTGGGAAGAAAAGGGGTCGGCATAAACAGATGGGGTTCCTACAATCATTGGCGTGCCTGCTCTCGACCCTCCTCCGCGGGATGAACCCAAATCGGAAAAGACGGTCTCGAGAAAGTATGGGGCTGACATGATGGTTGCGTCGGAGACGTCGGCGGCCTGAAGAGAGCCTTCGAGGCTGGAGGAGTCGTACATGTTGGAGCCGATGGATCGGAAGACGACGTCCAGCGCAAGCTGGGTCATGCCTCGTTGGGTTCGGGAACCAAGAATTGTGTGAGACTGCAAAAGCAATGTCAGTCAAGTTCTGACGGCAAGCGATGGGTGCCATAAGCGGGGAAACAGTATACCTTTCCGGAACCAGTGACACCAAGGGTCGCAATCAAAGCATCTGTGCCATGGCCGCCGTGGGGAGCCAAGACACCTTCGACCAGCGACGCGATGCCCGTGGAGTGGAAGACATCGAGCTGGGTGGCATCCTCTTCGAAAACCTTGGTGAAGGCGAATTTCTCGGTCGAACGCTTGCGGTCATTCGGAGGGTTGAGGGTAATGTGTGTCGGATGGGAGCCGTCTGCTGGCTCTTCAACGCTCAGGAATCTGTCAGAGGATGCAGCTCCAGCCGGGGGCGGCCTCAGTCGCAGGTAGACCTGGAAGAGGTTCGCGGCCGACTTGTTTGATGACGTTGAAGCATCCATCGTGTCTGGTAGTCGTGTGTCTCGTGCTGTTGGGTTAGTGATGCTGATGTATGGCGAGACCCGTATGGCGTTCTGTCGGTCGAGGTTGACTGAGCTGAGTCCGACGCGCGAATCTTTGAGGAGCTCGCCAAAGGCATAGAATCCTTGTTTATGCCGGTGACCGGGCAACGGAGACGAGATAAGATATGATAAGTGATTATAGCTTCGATAAGCGATAAGAAAATGGGATGGAGGGCCGTGCACTTTCCCCTGATTTTTGCATCGCCTTTTTTTTTTTCTGTCCCTCTCAACCCCGCCACGTTTTGCACGGTGGACCCCGCTGAGACACAGCTCTTAGTGGGGCTTGTGCTTTGCTGGTGTGGCGTCGGGTCCGACCGAGGGGGAGGGGGGACCTGGCCGCAGCGAGTTCCATGTTCGGGGACCTGGGCCCTGGACAAACCATTTCGCCTCGATCCAACCTCACCTCCCACTCTGCATGTACTGCGTACTATGTATGGCGTAGGCACGCACTTGACTTTATCTTGGATCTGACGTGGTACGCTCGCATTGCCTTTCTCGTTCGTGGGTGGGCATTTGCACCAAAGACAGGACTTCCGTATCTTAGCTTACGGCCCGAATGGTCAGGCATTTTGCAGTCTTTGGCTCTGGCGAATGGCAGCATGGTTGCGTCTTTCGTTGGTTGAGTCAGACCACAACGCCTCAAAGTCACTGTGATGAACCCCAAGTCAAACCATGAAACATCAAACAGACGTCTTGCCTCTTGTGATGCACAACGGACAGGCTGTATCAGCAAGTGTCTTGTCGTCGGAAGAAACCTCCGTCGTCAGTCATGTCTGCTCCCCCTCCTAGTAGAGTTTTCAACCCCTTTTCGAAGAACTGGCAGAGCTCTAGCTTGCGGGACAGAGTTTTGTTTTTCCCTCTCCCATTCGAGGCTCAAAGTCAAATGGTTGAGGCCGGCGCAGGCATCACCCATCGGGCTAGCAACCCCTCATTTTCCGTCAGTGAGTCATGAACGACAAGAGGCCAGACAACGGGGACCAGTGCCGTTCAAGGCTGATCCCTATGACTCCCGTGTGACTGGCCGAAAATTTCGACTGCCTTCGATGGACCCTTTTCTTGCAAACGACATCGGACAGCACCGAGCATCCGAGGAAGCGGGAAGCTTGCACCGGGCCCCGCAAGAGCTCGTCATTTCCCCCCCCTTCATTTGTCTCTTTCTACCTCCCCTCTCTCCTTGCCTCTCTGGCTCATGCTCATCTAGTGGAAGTAATGGTCCGGTCCTGCAGATAGCGTAGATGAATGTGTGCCAGCTTGGAACTCTGAAGCAGTTGAGCATAAGCTCAATTTGCCGCTAGAGGTGACTCAATATTCAGACGCAGACAAACCAAATAACTTGGATTGGACGAAAGAAATTACGGTGTGTGCAGAGGATGTACTGAATGCTTACGCAGTACGGCGGTAGTAAGTGCTCGTCTGCAACAGCAGGCGGACACAGGATGATGAGCTGGCCATTCTCGTCTTGCCCCTCGATGTCCCCTCGACTCGACTCTGCCCCTCGCTCGACTTTTCCAGGAGCTACTGGATGCCCCTCGATGTGCCAAGCCGAGGCGAATCAGGAGACCGCCTACCTATTTTGCATATCGAAGCTCCATACTTCGCCGCAAGTATTCGTAGCGTCCCATGTGCAGGCAAGCAGTGGATCACAATGGAGACGTGGACGTTGTGGAGGCACCGCTCGTCACAGCAGTCCAATGCAAGTGAGGAATGGAGATGTCTTGCCCATGAAGAACGTTTGGGAAGCCCTGGAATGTGAGGCTTTGGCGCCGTATGGTCCACAATGCTGCACCAGGAGCCCAGCACCGGCCATCAGCTGCGCCTCTCTCGATGGCTCCTCTGCTGCCGCTGCATTTGCTAGGCGCCGAGCTGACGAAACGGTGAACGAGGCATGGCATCTCCCACATCTGTTGTAGAGCGTCGTCTGCTATGCTTGCATACCTCAAGATGTGATTGAAGATATCGCATACGTAGAGATCTTCAGACATGCAAAAGGTTCTCAGCGGGTCACACGCAATCCCAGATATTAAATCTCACGCAATGTAGGCATGATCAGCCCGGCTCCATCTCGATCCAGACCAGGTCGACGGGTGACGACAGCGAGGAGGGGGAAATCTGGCGAAATGGACGGGAGAAGATGCGCTGGAGAGAAGGCGAGCGAGGTGACACTGGACGTTGCAGCCAGAGGGGAGGGGCAGAATTGGCTTGATGAGGTCGATGGTCCAGCAGAGGCCGGGCTGTGACTGTGAGTTGAGGGGGGTGTCTTGCAGCCAGGCACAGGGGTTTCCTCCACACTTCACGGCACCAATCCACTAATTACGGTGCTTCTCCAGCGTGTTTTTCCAGCGTCTGCAGGCCACCTGTAGGGGCCGCCAGGGGTTGACAGGCGCAAAAAGGCGGTGACGGTTTCCCCAATCTGGCCTAGCGCGGGCTTTAATACCCACTTTAAGCGAGCCAGACGATGCCAGATTCAGGCTTTAGCGACCCCACCGAACCAGGACCCGGTACGGGCCAAAAAAAAAAAAAAAAGTTTGGGCGATTTCGAGGGAAAAAAAAAAAAGTTCGATTGGCTGTGGAGACCCCGGCAGCCATACATTATTTTCGGAATCCAGTTGTACCTTACCTCCCTCCTCCCGGTCCTTCTCTTTTTTTTTTCCCCTTCTTCAACCACCAATTCAACCCCAAACCACCAGACAACGAAGTCGCCCTAGCCACAGAATATTCGAACAGAACAGTCAGATACCCTTACCAAACTTCGTCGAGATCATGTCGCCCGCTTTCGCTGAGCTGTAAACGCCCACTGCGGGGGTGCCTGATCGAGGCGCCTCTGCAGTCCAGCAGCCCATCGAGACATTCAATCCTCTCTGCTTTCGACGAAGTGATCCCCCAGGCTTTCACTGTCCAGAGCCCTCCCGAGGGAACGGTTCTGGCCCATTGACGGAAGTCTGCATCTGATTTCAATCCGAATCGACTACTTTTGCCCGACATTCACTCGGCTACACCACGCCCATCCGCTACGAAGAAAACTACTACGCTCTATTAACCCCTTCCTGCCGGCGTCGCGACCTACCGCCTGTCTCTCCTCCCCTTCTCTATAATTACGAAAATCGGTATCAACATACCACTACACCAGGCGAAAGACTATCTCTAGTCTACCTCAACCACTATTGTCACCAGCTTGATATTCCAACGGCACCCTCACCGCCGCTACTCCAGACTTCACCCCACATTCCCAATACCACCGTCTTGGGTTTCACCCCCTGCATAATCACCGCCATGTCCCGCAACGTTCGCAATAAGTCGTCTGCGGCTTCTCGCAAGGCCGCAAAGCGTCGTGATTCAGTCACCTCCTCCTCGTCTTTCAACCTTTCCGACGACGACGGCTATTCCGCGGTTGAAGATATCAGCGATTCCTCCGATGACGACGATGAGGATGTCGTTGCGGCCGAGGAGGAGCATATCCTCCACGAGGTGCTGCCCCCAAGCATCTCAAGCTCTCCTCGGCCGCCCATTGTCCAAGAAGAGGACGATGAAGACGAAGACGATGACGACGATGATCAAGAAGAAGATGATGACGAGGAAGAGGGCGCTGCCGACGTCGAGGACAGTGCCAGTTGGGACGGCATCATGTCTGATGTCGAGGAGAGTGCCGCTTCCGACCACCAACATCACCGGTCTGAGCCAGTAGAGCGCCATGTTCGTTTCGACGTTCCCTCGAGTGATTCCGACTCTACCGACACCGAGGATGACCATGCCGATTTCTTTCCCGACATCTTTGTGGACCAGAGTTCACTCGATCCGGCCTTCCGCCGCGAGATCGAGAATGATGATGAAAATGACGAGTCTGAAAATTCCAATTCTTTCTGGGATTACCATGGCGACTATCATGGAGCCTATGACTACGCCCCTGACGCAGATTCGGAGATCGAGGCTGTCATTCAGGAACTTGGCGACGACGACACCCCTATTGCTACCCCCATGACCGCGGGCGAAGTCTCCGAAATGCCCACTCCAGTCGCAGCTTACGAGGAAACTCAAGAGCTGGACGGCTACGAGAGTGAGTTTGTGCCTCGTGATGCAGATTGCGATTCGAAAACGTGATTGCTGACGTGCTTGTCCAGCTGATGGTGACACCACCGAAGAAGATGAGCCTGAACCTGTCGTGCGCCGCAAGATTAAGCGTCCCGAGCAATCCGCCGACCAGTGGGATGACTCCGACACGGATCACCCGGTCAAGGGCGAGCGAGGACAACCTCGCGTTGGCCGCTTCAACCTCGACAGCTCTGAGCGCAAGCCCATCGCCGTTGTGAACCCCATCTCTAGAAAGATGATGATCTTTACCCCTCATCGCCGCCGTCACCTTGACTTGTCTCCGGAGCAGTTCAACTTCTCGTACCTTGCCCCCATTGACGAGAACCAGAACTCGCCCATGCTCAGCAACTCGGCTCAGATCATGATGAGCGCCATGTTCTCTTCCAATACATTCGGTGACTACCTCAATACTCAAGCCATGGGACCCGCCGAGGCTTTCTTCCCCTTCCAGTCTGAGCCGAACACGGCCGATGAGAGCTCCTCAGTGGAGATTGAGGAGGATGAGGATGAGATCGAACGAAGCCTCGACATCAACGACTTTATCGAATTCGACGATACGAGGTCTCTTGACGGCGAGGACGAGAAACAATGGGACGGCGATGCCGTGAACACCACTCCTGGCCGCCCGCGCAGCTCAAGCGACATCGACCTCCATTCACATATCAATGCGAACAACGTCGGAGCATTCCGTCGTGACCAGATCAACCAACGACTTATCCTGAGCGACAAGGCTACCCAAGACTCCCTCGCCCTCAGCAGCCCTTACAACTACACCGCTCTCCGCGGACTGAAATCCGACCGTTTCGAAACGGCGGCCGTCCCCCTAACTCCTCTGCGGCGTTCCAAGAAGCAGATGCGCGATCTCGCGCGCAGCCCCCTCGAATCCATGTCCCAGAAGCGCAAGGCGTCCAGTGAGGTCCCCATGGCCCACAAACGCCAGCGCAGCATCTCGGACGTCAACCTACTAAGCATCTAGTACGATGCTTCGGTACTCGACCTCCCTGAAATATAACGGTTGAGGATGGCGTGGCATGATAGCCCTCCAAAGTGACGGGCACTTGCCATCCCTGGCCTCATATACTTTGCACCCTGTTTCTTTCTCTGTTTTCTTGTGGTTCTATCTCTGAAAAAAAAAGCGGCCCGTCAGATGAAAAGACGGTAGATAAAAGTTACTTGGCGAAGGTGCCAATGCCTGGCTCATATGCAGTGAATCACGTTAGACCTGGACTTGCACTATGTCTTGGTGGAGCTGAAGAAATTCCTCCGCGAGGCGTGAACGCATACAGCGCTTGACGATGTTGACGTCTCCTATAGTTATCAATGAAAATTATGATATTCAATACTTCTGTCTGTGGATGTGCTTTATTTCTTACGCCAAGTTTGACCACGCATACTGCTCTTTGGCTTTCCTAGGGCTGTTCCGCATCATGCACCTGGTCTGCAACAGCGGCACAAGTCAATTCAATCGAAAGAGAACGTCATGAATGGTTTCCTCACCCTGAAGTCTGACTTATGTACAAGAAGAGAAGAAACATCGAAGCTAACGGCGCGTTCCATCCGTCCCCGCGCTTGTCATATGAGGAGGCGCCTGAACAACGTCCTCATCACTTTCATAGCAGACCCATCGAGCTCCAAGGCTCGTAAGCCATTTAGCTGTACGTGTCAATGGCATTGTTAAATGCCGTCTCGATCTGCGCAACCAAGGTTTTCGCTGCACCCTGTAGTGCCTCGGGCACCTTCTCAACGACAGCAGCGCTAAACTTGTCGGTCGCACTCTTCTCCTGCTTGAGGTTGAGGAGAATGATGGGGCTCAGGAGGAGCTTGTCGAACTTGGGCTTCGCGTCGACAACGTTTCCGAGAGTGGTCTCGACACCGCCCGCAAGTTTCTGCGTCGACTGCGCGACGGTGATGGCCTCAATGGCGTTCAGAGGCTCCGAGTCCTCGGCGACCTTGGTGGCCTCGTTAATCTTGATGAGCAGCTTGGTGGAGTCGATGATGATGGGGAGGGTGCCGAACAGGCCGCCGTCCCAAGACGCAACGGTATCGCCCAGCTCCGTGTTCTGCGTGGCGATCTCGTCCATGGCGGCCACGATGGCAGCGCCATCGGCAATGACGGAGGTGGCGAAGAGGCCGAGGAGCGAGAACTTGAGAAGCATGTTGGCGACAGTTGCCGACGGATAGAGGCTATGGGAAAACGGTGTGCTAGCTTGACGATTCAAGGCTGGAAATGAGGAGGATCATGGATACGGCTCTTTTCAGGATTGTTGTCAGTTCCAAACGGGCCCTTTTATACTCCCACTTCAGTGATCCCAGCTGAAAACCATCGTCATCTGGAGGGCATCGTCGGTCGACCGCCATGTTAATCGAGCTATTCCTCCGCCTATCAAAGCTGCTCATCGCCTCGCGACCTGCCATCGATGTCGTCTTTCCCCGCAATCCACATCAAGGAGGAGTGACACGATAGCTCTGCCTAGCCGGAGACGAGGTGTGATCGCGCGGATGCAATTCCGGGCAGTTGAGCAGCACTTCACATGTCCTCGGCCGAGAAGTTGGCGCAGCTCACCAACATGGAGAGAAACAACACACAAATCATCGCAAACACATGCTGTTCTACAGGGGATCCTGACAATCCAAGCCGAGGAGAAGCAGGGGCTTTACCCCGGATTGTGTCCCAATCCCCTGAACACCCCGCTGATCACCACTTAACCCCTCATGCAAGGTTCCTGCCGATGTGACTACTCGAACATGAGTGAGGAGCGCAAATGGCTCTCATTGGACGGCGCTAGGTGACGCCAGCGCCGGCACTGGACATTCTGGCTCAATTGCGCTTTGAGTTCGGGCAGTTGAGGCGAGCTGAGAGTGGCTGGGCGTTGTGGTCGTGTAAGCCGGCGCACCTTTTGCCTTTTTGGACCTGAACCAATGGTTCCTCCGAGCTTTCGCGTCCGAATGAGACAGTCTGCGTAGTTGCGATGGCAGGGTCGAATCACCTGCGTCTCTGCAGCAATGACGATCTGACGGATTGAGAGCTGAAAAACTCTAACAAGGTCTGTTAGAATTGTAGGTGCCATCTCAAGTTAGGTGGAATAGTGCGCTTGCCCAAGTGTTTTTAACATTACTTCCAACGAGTAGGGCCATTTGTTGTGAGGATCCTCCACGTGCTTTCTCTTACTTCCATGCTTTCTTGATTCCAGCACTTCAAGCGACCATGAAATATGGTTCATAGTTTAACCCATGCGAATGTCATGAAAGTCTTCATTTCAGCGAAGCAGTGCATGCTGAAGCTTGCGACCGTCATGTATCCACACAGCGATACTCGGGAGGCAAATCGCTTGTTGGGCCGTGACGTTGGGGACCTGATTTGTACACCCTTTACTCTCTCTACACGAAGCTAAGCTGTGCATTTGCTGGGAACCTGATGAGGGCATCATCGGCATCAGAAATATTTCTCGAGGCTGTCATACTGATAATCAGTCTGCCCACCTACACTCTTCCCAGCCAGCTCTCCATGGTTTCCCGAAGAACTCGTCAACATTTTGAAATTGAATATCATTAATTATCTCATGGTACATAAACCGCGAAGTCTCTCGCCTTCTAGCAACGAGTCTGTCTCATCCCTCCTCGGCGTCCATGTTGTCGTGACGCCTCTTGCCACCTTTGCCGCCCTTGAAGGCCGTGCCCCGCTTGCCCTTGGCGTCCATCATGTTCTTCATTTCTATCCGGGCGACTCTTTGAGCTTCCTCGACTCTCGTCTGGAACACATCCACCTCGTCCTTCTGGGTAGGGTATTCGGGCAATTTCTTGCCCAGGGCTGCCTCGATCCGTAGGTAAATCTCAAGATCGTACTGGGTCATTATGGTAATGGCCTTGCCGGATTTTCCCGCACGTGCCGTGCGACCTACTCTGTGGACGTATGTCTTGCTGTCGGACGGAATATCAAAGTTGATGACAACGTCAACTAGAGGGATGTCGAGACCTCGGGCCGCGACGTCAGTGGCGACGAGAATATCGCGAGAGCCTGCCCGGAATTTGTTCAGCGCGCCCAAACGTGCCGTCTGGTTCAGCTGTCCATGGATCGGGATAGCCCCGAAACCCAAGGTACGGAGCAGGATGGCGAGTCTCTAGACAGAATGTGTTAGTGGACATCGGTGATCAGGCGAACATGTGAGTTTCCAAGGCTCTTGCTCTTGCTCTTGCTCTTATGGGCCCAAACCAGAAAACCGCCTATGACTTACTTGTGTCTCTGTGACTGTTCTTGTGAACAGAACTATTTTCTTCCCGGAATACTCGTTCACCAAGTAGACGAGGTATGTGTCTTTCTTGTTGTGGGGGCAAAAGATGTAGTTTTGGATGAGGGTCGACACAGTCTGGTGGCTGCTGGAGCTGATGCTGATGCGCACGGGGTCGCGCAGACTAGCCCGCTGAAGACTTTCGATTTTGGAACTCATGGTGGCGGAGAAGAGGAAAGTTCGACGTTCACGGGGAATGAACTTGAGGATCTTGTCGATGCTGGGTCCAAAATCCATATCCAAAAGTCTGTCTGCCTCGTCCATGACCAAGTACTTGAGCGAACGCAAAGAGAACCCTTTTGTCTTCTCGAGATGGTCAACCAAGCGTCCAGGTGTAGCCACTACAATATGGGGCTTCTTGCCCAAGGCGATTGCCTGGGCGACCATGTCCAGCCCACCGACGATGACTGCGACTCGAAGGTTCACTAGCGAGCCTAGGGCTTCGAAACTTGCGGCGATCTGGGCTGTTGAGTGCAGGTGATTGATTAGAGTTTATGTTCAAAGTTTTAGCAGGGTGACTCAAGCGGCCGCTTACCTGCCAGTTCTCTTGTGGGCGCGAGGACAAGACCGAACAGATGGCTGGGCTTATCGAGGAGTGCTTGAATGATGGGCAGCCTGTTGAGAAAGCTGTGAGCCTGCAGGACATTGCAGAGCGGTAATCTGTATAACTCACGCAAAAGCGGCTGTCTTTCCACTTCCAGTCTCGGCCAACCCAATGACGTCTCTATTCTGCAGCGCATGGGGGATCGATTGCGCCTGAATGGGTGTGGGATTTGTGTAGCCGAGTCGGTCGCAGGCTTCAACAAGAGAATCGACAATGCCCTGGAGATTTCTAGATTAACCGGTGTTCAGTCGAGCAGCAAGCACGGCCAACTCACGAGGTCCTTGAAGGTCTTTGCGCTCTCAGCTTTGTTGGCGGTGACATCTTCCTCCGGCTCCTGCTCCGGCTCGGACGTGGGCTCGACAGACTCGTCGGGAGATGCCTCCTTCTGGCGGTTGGCCTTGGGCGGAGGGCCCCCGTGGGAGATCTTGACTCGTTTGTTCGGTGGCATCGTGGAGGTTGTGTTAGGTTGGTCGTGGCACTTGGCGCAAAGTGACCCGGGAGAGAAGATGTGCAGAATCAAGGAAAAAAAAAAAAAAAAAAAAAGTTACAGCTTCACATCCAGCAAAGCTCGGCCCCGCGGCCCCGCGAAAATCTGGCTTAGGTAAGACACCGCCGGGGAAAGCGGTGTGATAAAACACAGAGCGATTGGACAGGGTGAGCTTTAGAGTGGGTCTCAAAGCATGCAGAATTGGGCAGAAAAGAAAGCGGCAAGAAATTTTAGAACTGGGCGTTCGCCTGCAGGCGCATTTCTCCAGCACCATCTCAAGACCATCACAAGATCCTCCTGCGATTCCGTCCGAGCCCCAGCTTCTCCCCAGGCTCCCATCTCGACCCGTCGCACTCAATTAGACTGCGCGCGATCATTCGAACCTTCTTTTTAAAATACTCAATCGCTCATCAAGTCGCCCACAATGGCGAAGCCTCGCCAAAAAAAGAGGACGCACGTCGGTGCTTCGAACCCCCAGAAGCCCGTCGATGCCAAGGTGCCTAGGTCAATGGTCATCCGTATCGGCGCAGGTCAAGTTGGCAGCAGTGTTTCGCAGCTTGCCACGGATGTCAGACGTGTACTCGAACCAAACACTGCCTCTCGGCTGAAGGAACGCAGAGCCGTATGCCAACGTCCATCGCTCAGCTTCACATTGTGCAAACACTGATTTGGACAATAGAACCACTTAAAGGACTATGTTACTATGGCAGGTCCCTTGGGCGTGTCCCATTTCCTTTTGTTCTCTAGATCCGAAGGTTTGTGTCCCCAACTCGAAGCCCTGTCACCATCCCCGGCTGGATCAGCTGCTAACAATAACCAGCTGGCAACGTCAATCTCAGAGTCGCCCTAACCCCGAGAGGCCCAACGTTCAACTTCCGAGTCGACAAGTATTCCTTGGCTAAGGATGTTCAAAAGGCTCAACGGAGGCCCAAAGGCAGTGCGAAAGAGCAACTTGCTCCGCCCTTGGTACGTAGTTCACAGCAAGAACAGCCCAAAAGCCATTGACTGACCCCTTTTAGTTGGTCATGAACAACTTCCACTCCCCCGATTCCGACGCAAAGTCAAAAGTCCCTAAGCACCTCGAGTCTCTCGCAACCTCGGTCTTCCAATCTCTTTTCCCGCCCATCAACCCGAACCAAACTCCTCTCAAGAACATCCGCCGAGTCCTACTCCTCAACAGAGAGCTGTCGCCTGAGAATGATGGGTCTTTCATTCTCAACTTTAGGCACTACGCTATCACAACGCGAGCTACAGGCATCTCGAGACCTCTCAGAAGACTCGATCGGGCAGAGAAGCTGCTGGCTTCGAAGGTTGGCAAGAAGGGCGGCGTGCCGAACCTAGGCAAGCTTGAAGATATTGCCGACTTCATGATTGGTGGTGAGGATGGAGAGGGATACATGACGGATGCTACCAGTGGCAGCGAGATCGATACGGACGCGGAGATCGAGGTTCTGGAGCCGGCAGCTAAGAAGATTTCTAAACAACGCGCTGCCCCTGTTGAAGACGATGCTGCGGACGATGCCGAGGGTGTCGAGAAGCGCGCCGTCAAGCTGGTTGAGCTTGGTCCGCGCATGCGTCTGCGTTTGACCAAGGTCGAGGAAGGCTTATGCTCAGGCAAAGTCATGTGGCACGAGTACGTTCACAAGACAAAGGAAGAGATCCGGGAGCTGGAGAAGCGATGGGAGAAGAGGCAACAGGAGAAGGAGGCCAGGCGGAAGCAGCAGAGAGAGAACGTCGAGAAGAAGCGGAAGGCTAAGGCCGAGCGTGGCGACACAGCTGGGGATGAAAGTGATGTGGATATGGACGACTACGACGAGTTTGACAGTGAGGGCCTAGCGGGCGATGCGGAATACCAAGTCAACGAGGAGATGGAAGATGCTGGTGAGTGGGAGGACGAGGAGGAAGAGATTGCGAACGAATGAGCGACCTTGATAGAAGAGACTTTCGTTCATGGTGGATAATAATACCCAAAGAGTGGCTGAAGATGAAGGCATCATATCTTCCCTGTGACATGTTTCATTGAACGTCCGCTTCAGACTTATGAGGGTGCGGGTTACAGACAAGGACGAGCGCCGATGCCATGGCTCTGCCACCGGATGCCCAAGTCGTGGAACCGTATCACCAGCCCCTATACCCATGAGGGCACAGTTTCTCATCGTTCCTCAGTCGGCCACCTGAATGGAAAGGGAGCATGTTGCAAGTCAAATTTATGCCCCACAAGAAGACTCCGGCATTTTGCGCATGTGCAGTGTCGAATTTCGCCAAGAGAAATCCATGGTAGAGGACAGCTTTCCGTTCAACGTCGGACTAGGTCCAGTTGGGAGAAATTGCACTTGACCAAGGCTTAAAGTCATGGGATGCTCGAGCTAGGGTAATATTCTCGGGGCTGCGGGGATTGAGTGAGGGGTTTCGAACATCTCCAGATCGGGAAATGTTCGAGTCTCGTATCATTTAATGTGTGACGAGGTGATGAGCAGGCCCGTTCGAGAACCAATGCTATGTGTGTGTTTTCGGATTTGTAATTCTATCCTGTGAAGCGACCATTTTCTGCGTACCACTGACACCGTTTTGCGCGTGACGGTACGACTTTCCGGCACCTCTCCAGATTGGTTCACCTCGTGTCATTTGCGGCCTCAACCCCACCCGAGTTCAATGATCTGATCATGTCCCAATCGATCTCAGGCCCCTGAAAGCTTTTGTTTCCGTCCATGTACCACAAGAAAACGATAACGAAGAAGAGCCCAACCAAAATGACGGCAGTATAATTCATGCTGGCAGGTGTCGCAGGGAGGCTAGGTGGCATACATATGAAGACCAACAATACCAATGTCCACAAAATGGAAAATGTGTTGCAAACATACCCAGCCCGGCCAAGGTTTAAGTACCGACGAGGCAAGCATCTTTGTCGACCCCGAAAGAGGAGGATGGCTTGTGGAGCTGCATAAGTGATATTCAAGAAAAGGACTGCTGAGGTCACTATTGAATTAAAGGCAGAGGTTGATGCCAAGTACAAAAGACCGTAGAGACAGGAGAATACGTAGGAAGCGACGGTAGTTCGAATGGGTAGATGTCGTTTGCCATCAACATTTGCGAAGTAGCTCGAAAAGGGTACTCCTCTCTGGAATCAGTCAGCAACAGTGCGTAGAGGGGATGACTTCCTGCGTTGCATAACCTACATCGCGAGCAAATGCCCAGGCTAGACGACCACTGGTGACCCATTGTGATGGAAGACATACTGGGACAGATATCAGTGAGACGGGTGGGCTATTGCCGACACGGAACCACTCACCCAGGTAAACGAAGAGGATATAAGCGAATAGAGACAAAGTGACCTTGTCGTTGCCGGTCCTGAGACTGCATTAGAGTTGAAGTCGCCAGTGTCGACCGTGATAGGAGTACAAACACCTGGTTTATCAACTCCAAACTAGGCAAACGAGATGAAATAACTGCCGAAAAGTCTTCCATGTAGAACATGAGAGACAAGAACAGAGGGAAGGCTGTGGCCATACCGATGATCATTGTCAGCATCATGACCTGTGGGACTCGGCGACCGGGATGCGGCATTTCCTCGCTAATGTGAATAACTACCAAGTATTAGAAAGATTCCCTTTCCGAGATATCATCATGTGGGTGACTTACCACCATCCGTCCCCCCAAAGGCGTACATTGCATTCGCGATACCCAAGGTCCATGCTATCTCTGCAGACCATCCACTTGATCCTAGACCCGATTGAGTCAGGAAAGATGCAGGTTGGCTGTGTTTATGCAAAGCGATGGCTACGAATAAGAGCACCAGAAAGCCCAAAACTGAACTGTACAACGAAAGCTGAACTGTGAAGGTGATCTTTTGAGAGGCAGAAATCACAGGAAGTACTAAGAATTGTTAGAAATGTAGTTTCAAAGGATTAGATATGAAATTCGGGAGGTGAAAGCACCTGTGACGGTGGCAGTCCCCACATAGATTAAATAGATCTGCCATTGTGTTCCTTCGAAACCGGGATGCCAAAATTGGATCATACCAGCTAAGGTCATGGAGAACAAGGATATTCCCGAACATCTCGAGACACTTTACGTTAGCTTTCGAAATATCACGACTGGCCTCCAAAGAGAAAATTACTTACGTAACGATCCACCAAGCCAGCATTGACATCCAACCTATCAGGTATCCAGCGAATCGTCTTGTATTTGGAGATGATAAGATGTAGCAGAAGTGATACTGGCCACCGGTTGACTACACTTTCATTAACAGTGAAGACGGTTTGGTATGTGACAGATACGACGGACCGGGAAAGCAGACGCTATCTCACCCAGACCAAGAGTCATGACAAGCTGAGCGGCAAAGGCGACGAGGAGCCCAAATATACACGATTGCGGCCCACCATAGACGAGATTCTGACCGAAATTGCTCTTCAATGGAAACTGTCAGCGCAAAATAAGAAGCTTCACATTTTTGCGATGATCAAAGAGAACATGGGCGTACAAGATAACCGATCCAAGAGTTGGTGATAGAAAAAGAGAGGCCTAAAGCTGAAACCCAGCTAAATTGGCGCTTCAAGACTTGATCATGGCCATTGGCTCTCAGGATTGCGTCGTCAATGTTCGCGTAGGGCTCTAGTGTACCATGGGATATGCTCAATCGGTGGATAAACTCGTTCGAGGCTGCATCCTTCGCGAAGCCCTTGGCCGCCATAGCTGCCGGGTCGGCATGTGGAACGGTATCGGCATGTATGGCATGGTTCATCGTTCTCAAGTCAATGGAAGCGAAGAGAAGTCGTATTAGACGTTTCGAAAGTCTATAAAAATGTAAGACGTAGGTCCGCGGCTCTCTTTACACGACCGCAGAAAACAGGCTATGACAAGGTCTTTATAGCCTTTCACTCTCCACTGAGAATAATGTAGTTGATGTCCTCTCTACAACTTCATAAGTGGTGCTTTGGACAGCCCAGCTGATTTTCTTATCACACTTCTGCTACATCAACCTCATGTTCGTCGATGCATTGTAACCGCAGACCAAGCAGAGATAGCGAATTGCTGCTGTAGATATCTTCGGCATCCATTCTGCATGCCCTAGACGTGTTAGTGGCTCCACCCGCAGACTGTGCGATTCGCAATTCGGGCGACGCACCTTTCACTGACAAGTGACGATAAGACATATCGGTCGTGCAACTCCTTGCCAATCATGGCCCCAAACCTGAAGCCTGCACGGAGGTCATAGGATCTTACCCCAGTTGAGATGCTTTGCCATTCGGACCCCTTCGTGTGATATTTGGCGGCTGCTGACTCTGAACGCAGTGCCAACTGTATTGATTTCCATCCTGCATGCTGTTATGCATGAAAGCCGCGCTAATTAGATTGTTCACGGACCCCCACCATCACATGGGGCTTGCGCTCTCTTTTTCCACTTTAGGAAATAGTCTCAACCATAGCAGTGGGCTGGAGGCCTGCCCTGCTGCAGTGCCTGTCGCACTGTAATAAACGGACGCCATCCCAATGCTACATAGGTAGGTAGCTCACGACGCTGCGTCGCCTTGGCGGAACGAGCGGGCCCAAGTTCTTTGAGCCTGCAGTGAGCCATCATTCCCCGGAAGCGAAGCGTCAGAAGGTCTTTAAAAACAACTTTTGTTTTTTTCAATTCGAGTATCCATCCAAGTCAGTTTCACACGTGTCATCACGCCAAAGCCTTTTCCCACACCAAGCCCCTGGCTCTAACGTATCTCATCTCAACCGCTATCCCTAACTTCTGTTGTCGAACACTACCAAAGCCTGTGAACATGTCGAGAATTTCCGATAGATACGGCTCCGAAGTCCAGAAGCTCTCAGCTGAGACCCCTATTGAGGATATCATTTACCTTTTGAAGCGCGATGGCGGTGTATTTGTTAAGGGGCTTGTGGCCGTTGAGGACGTCGACCAATCTTACGAAGAGTGTCGTGAGCGCCTCGAAAGCGACGTTGAGTGGAATGGGTCATTCTTTCCAAGTAAGCCTCATCGGCCTATCAACAGCCGTCAGTCATGTTGCTGGGAGGCTACTAGACTATTAACGCAGCTCTTGCTGATGAATGGCAGAGGAAACCCAACGAGCACCAGCCCTCCTTGCTCTCAGCCCCACATACGCCAGAACCCAGATGATGAATCCCATATATCAGAAGGTGTGCGAACACTTTCTGACCACTCGAAACTGGTTCTGGTGGGGCAACGAGAAAAAGGAGTCGGTTTCGAAGCCGTATGTCCACTCTTGCACTGCCATGAGGATTGGACCAGGCGGAAAAGCCCAACCCCTCCATAGGGATGACTACATCAGCCACAACCACCACCAGGAGATAGAGGCATGGGATGATGAACGAGACAAGAACCGAGAGACTGCAGTAGGCCTTTTCGTGGCCGGAAGCAAAGTCACAAAAGAGAATGGAGGCACCCAGTTCATACCTCGCAGCCACCTCTGGTATGAAGATTTTCCCCGTGAAGTCTCGGCGTCGACCGCAGTGAATGCATGTTGTACTGTGCTGATAGTGTTTGATTATTAGGGGCACCGACAGACACTTGCCACCACGAGTTGACGAGTGCATTTATGCTGAGATGGACAAAGGCGACGCTTTCATCATGCTGGCCTCAGCATATCATGCCGGCGGACATAACACCACACAAAACGAAAAACGACTGGTTTTCGCGACGTTTTCCATTCGAGGATATCTACGACAAGAGGAGAATCAGTATCTCTCCGTTCCTCAAGATATTGCGAAGAATTATGACCGGCCCATTCAGGAATACATGGGTTAGACCCGGCATGCGGAACTTGTCGAAAGAAGTGTCGCAAATGCGACAGAACACGGCCGACATGCAATCGATGCAAGTCGAAAGGTCTCCAATGCGAAGGATACCCCCCCAGGTTTCAATTTTGCGAATCGCCGTCCACTGCTGTCGCGTCCAACGGCAGCAAAGTTCAGCAACAAGACGAAAATATCTCACATTCCTCAAGGAAGCCCGGTCGGAGCCAAGACCGAAGTTCCCCGTCGGCCCAGAGCCCCCGGACATCCATATCGACTGATAGTCGCAGTGCGCAAGTTTTGCACCATCTTTTGCATCAGGGCACATCACCGGACGCGTCGACGTCTCCCCATCAAATCTCGGTTGGCCAACCATCGCCTGTTTCTTTTACTGAGCGCCACTTCGAAAAAGAGCCTCTGACCGCTCTGAACCGAAACTTGTTGATTTATTGTGAGTCCCATCAAACTAAAAAGCTAGTATTGGGCCTCACAAGGAGTAGTTGACGAAAAGTTAAGCGAACACTTGACAATCGTAGTCAATGAGACCCAAAATCCGTTCCGACTTCACGTGTTACCTCTTGCGCATCAGCATGTCGGAGTTCTTCACGCCGTCCTGGGCTTGGCCGCATGCCATATGACTCTGTCACCCTATGGAGTTGAACAGGTTGATATGGCTACGGCTCTACAACATCGAGTGGCAGCCCTCAACGCTCTGAGTTCGCTTCTTATAAAGGAAGAGATCTACGGACTGGCGGCTGCTGAAGAAGACGCCGTACTGGCGATTATACTGCTCTTGGTCTTGCATGACGTGAGTGTCTTGGCAAATCTAGAATTCGTCATTAACTCCCCCACGTCCCGGATCCGAGCCCATCAGTCACACTAACGTGAGCTAAGATCTGCGAAATGGGCATATCCGCCCATGCCGTGCATCTGACAGGGGTGTCTTTTCTATGCGATAGAGTTGCAGTGGCCTCAAGCCTCGGACAGACGTCAAGCGCTAGCATGTTCTTCCTGTCAGCACTAGCATGGTGGGTTCATCATTTCAGGCTTTCTGAAGACACGCAACATTTCAACTGACATAAGTCGCTAGGTTGGATGTACTGAGGGGTTTCAGTGGCGCAGAGAAACTTACTTACTCAGAAGCCGTTCGCCTATGTGTCGTGGCTGACCCGAAAGCACGATCAAGCTTCCACACCTTGGTTGGTTGCCCTCCCGCCGTTTTCCATCGCATAGGCGAGGTCATCGCAGCGGCCAAACGCCACCAAGCCAAATCGATCAGTCTAAACGATTTCGAGCAAGTTTTGCAAGATGCAGAAGTGTTCTTTCGAAATATCAGGCTGGAGGAACTAGATTATCCCAGCCCTGATACCGAATGGAGAGATCTTGCCGACGCCTATCGCCATGCCTGTCTTTTGCGAGTGATCCGTTGGCCAGACACCTTTTCAATTCCCTGTGAATCTGACAAGGTGAAAGTCTCGGTCAGCGCTATACTAGACGCCAGTTCACGAATCCCAATGAGCTCCCCTTTTCACAAACGGTTGCTATGTCCCCTTTTCCTCGCCGCTGTCGACACCTCTACAGGACACCAAATGCATTATGCCACACTATGCATCCAGCAAATCAAGCGCTCAACCGGATTTGAACATGCTGCAATGACAGAAGTGCTTGAAAAGGTTTGGGAAGCTAGGGCGAATCACACTCGTGCCTGGCCTAACATTCCTTGGATGGAGTTTGTAAGTACATTTGTAGACATCAAAAACGACCGAAGAAATACTGATTGCGCAATAAAAGACCTGCTCCGAGGCCCTCAGACAGCAACATGCATATCTGTTCTTTTAAATCATGGAGTCAAAAGGCATGCGGCCATGAGATACGTGTACGCTGTACGTCGTAATCGGATTTGTGACGAAGAGAGCCGATGTGCGGATGCGGACTATTGCCATTTTAGGAAATAAAGCACATACAGGACTCTGATGTCAACTTTATTTCATGTTCAAGGCCTGAACGGAGTCTCACTTCCCATACCTTTGGCAATCTACATGTAGACTAGACTCAGACACCTTACTGACGCCTCGAATTATCACGTCCCAGGAACGACACCAGTTATCTCAGTGCTTCAATCTTGAATCAGACACCCAGGCTGGTTCAGACGATGACACAGAAGGATAGTAGAAGCCTATGGCAGAGAATTTGTTTTTAAGAAGCCGAATGCTTTTGTATCCCATTCTTGGAGTCTTTGAGATAAGACAGTCACCAAAAGGGAGCGCTCGTGTCAATGCCGACACCTAAGTACGATTCATCGACTCGCTCATTTCAAAGCTAAGACTTGATTGTCCTCAGGGATTACGCCACCTGATTCGTAAGGGCAAGTAATACAAATCACCTTCGTACCTATGGGGGTTGATTAAACCCCGCATCTTGTAAGAATGAGGGTTGCTAAATTCGCACGATGGTCTTGTATCTTCCCGAGATAGATGCGAGATAAGAGAATAGTAAACATGCAAGGAGCCGGAAAAAGTGTTGGCAAGCCGGCTCGCTCAAAGACGATACTATAGATGGAGTCATAGGGAGAAACAGCCACGCGCGAACAACAGTCCGCACCGTCATAGTTGCTGAGAGTTTTTCCTTTTCGGGAAGAACAATGCATCTGACCCACCGACGCCCCAAGGTTGCGTGCCAAGCTGGCGCGTCGCACCAACTGGCGTATACAGGTCTACTTACATCTTGACTTTTATTCCTAATGACTTTGGCATCCCCTTTTGCAAGTACTCCAAGATACCAAGAACTTATGCGATGCATACTTTGATTCTTTTGTCACATGCAAAGGCGAGGTGGTCGAAAGGAGTTAAGTTTTGGGTGAATACAAATAGTGGATGATTCGGGATGTCGCAAGATCCCACATACTCTCTCAACCCATCGCTGGAGCTATTTCCGTTTTCGGGATCAAATCATCCTTCAATACTGGGCCGTAATAGGTGATCGCAGTGTCCGAGTGTGGTTATTTGGATTGACTCAACAATACTTAAATGACTGGCTTGCGATATTGTTATTACCAGATGCCATAGGTTGCACCTCGTCCCAAACAGTCTTTATTCCTCATTCTGCCACCATGCCCAAACACCCCCTAGACCCTCTATCAGTCGATGAAGTCCGCAAGGCATCACAGCTCCTTTTACAGGAGTTGAGCTTGCCACCAATGTGCATCCGCTTTAAGGTGGTTGATCTGGCAGAGCCGTCCAAAGACGAGGTTCTCGCCCACCTGCAAAGGGGTAACCGGGTACCAGATCGCAAAGCTCGAATTTATTACCACCAAAAGAACTCGAAAGTTCTCACGAAATCGATTTTGAATGTCTCTAGCGGCATTCTAGAGACCACCGAAGAACTTCCAGACGTCCAAGGCCCAGTGGACTGGGTAGAATACGACCTCGTCACTAAGGCCTGCAATAAGCACCCGGCAGTTCTTGCGGAGATTGCAAAGTTGAAAGTTCCACCAAGGTATGCCTAATGAAATGTCCTAGAACAATGTAGACTGAAGCGTCTGGATAGCGCCCGAATTTTGAACGATCCTTGGGCATACGGCACGGATGACCCTTTCGAAAGAAGACGACTTTTTCAATGCTACATGTACTTGGCTCTGAACGACGACGAGGAGGCAAATCACTATTCAACCCCGTTACCACTTGCACCTATCTTCGATGCACATACAATGGAGCTTGTGGATCTTCAAAGACTTCCGCTCGGCGTTGGCGATGAACTTGATACCGAAACTCAGCCATGGACACCCGTCGAGCCTGTCGAATATAGTGCCAACATACTCGGCACGGAGGCACTACGCAAAGATCTGAAGCCTTTGCATATTATTCAGCCTGAAGGCCCATCTTTCCAAATCGACGATCGAACTGTACTCTGGCAAAAGTGGCAATTCCAACTGGGATGGTCACTACGAGAGGGTCCCGTTTTGCACGATGTGCGGTACGGCGAAAGATCTCTTTTCTACCGAGTGTCCATGAGCGAAATGACGGTTCCTTATGGCGATCCTCGAACCCCTTACCACCGAAAGCAGGCCTTTGATCTTGGTGACTCTGGGTTTGGGCTGACATCCAATAGCTTAGCTATTGGATGCGATTGCCTCGGCCACATCGCCTATTTCGACGGAGTGCGCGTCTCGGCTACCGGAGACCCTGTGCTGATGCCGAACGTGGTTTGTATGCATGAAGTCGATGACGGCATTGGCTGGAAGCACACCAATTTCCGCAACGGCAAGTCTTCAGTGGTACGGGACCGCAAACTTGTCATTCAATGCACGTCGACTGTTGCCAACTACGAGTACATTTTAGCCTTTGTGCTTGACCAAGCCGCTAATCTTCACATTGAAGTGCGGGCAACAGGTATCCTGTCTACCATGCCAATCCGTCCAGACCTCAGCGTATCCCCGTGGGGCACGGTGGTAGCTCCTGGGGTTCTTGCCGTAAATCACCAACATCTTTTCTGTGTGCGCATCGACCCGATACTTGATGGCGAAAGGAACAATACAGTCGTGCGGGACGATTGTTTGCCCGTTCGGGGTAACCCTAATCTTGACCCCTTTGGATGTGCGTTTCGCGTCAAAACCACTCCAATTACGAAGCCTGGCGGCTATGACCTAGACCTCTCGTCCGGTCGTACGTATCGAATCACGAACCCATCCCGCGTGAATGAGATATCGGGCAAGCCGGCTGGATACAAGCTTCATGCAGCACCTACCCAAATGTTGATGATGGGACCTGAGACATTCAATCATCGGCGGGGAACTTTTGCATCCAAACCCATTTGGGTAACACGATACCGAGATGATGAGTTATGGGCCGCAGGGGAGTTCACCAATCAAAGTCGGGAGGACACTGGACTTGCAACGTATGCAACGCGAGACGAAAATGTCGAGAATGAGGATGTCGTACTTTGGCATTGCTTTGGACTGACCCATGTCACTCGGCCTGAAGGTTAGTTGCCCCTCCTTGATGCCGTTACTGACCACATAAGAGTTTGCTTAAGAATGATGGACTCTGATACGACATAGACTTCCCTGTCATGCCCGCTGAGAAGCTATCTTGCACATTGAAGCCGACAAGCTTTTTCCGCAAGAATCCCTCAAACGATGTTCCGCGGTCCGAGCAGCGCCATAACAACTCAACTCTTCATACGGCAGCGGATGGATCCTTTCCATATTGCCAAGCAGCAGGCAGGTAATGAGGAGAAAGATCGCCGAGTCAAATCGAAAGAAGTGAAGCAGGCAAATGTCTTGGAACTGCTGGTTTCTGTTTTGAACTTGTAATTTATGATATCTACGTTGAGATTGAGAACGTTTGCGACACGACTATGATGTGAAAATTGTGTCATGTCTTGCAGCTCAGTGGCGACAGATTTATTTTCGTTCTTCCTTGCTAATCTGCAACAAGTAACTATTGATGTCAAGCATGCAGTACCCTCAGCGTTATGAACTCGATCTTCCACTAACCATGAGTTTCCTGGATCGAGAGGACTAAAGCCTAGGCTTGAGACACGCGCTTCAAATGTCGGAGTTTCGGCAGCGCGCTGAAAATAGCGTCTCCAGCCTAAAGAGTAGTTTGAACCAAGTGCAGATGAATCTGTCAAAGTGAGTCGTATCCATAAAACGCAAAATCGTGATTCGAGATAACACACGTTCACGGTTCTTAGGCGCTGGGAAGAACTTTTCAGTCTTATACGATGTAATACTAGGCAACACATTCGATATGACATTAGACTTTCGCCTCTGGAACTGTTCTGAAAGCATCGGCTGCTTCTTTGAGAGGCGCGGTGGAAGGCGGGAGTCCCTGCCCTATCGCCGCTGAAAAAATGATACCAACCACGTCGCAGACTTGTGTATCGATCTGCTGCAGCAGCCCTGAACTGAGAGACCCGCCTCCAATGTTTTCGTCCACAGCATCACGCACAGTCTCTAGAAGCTCGCGACAGGTGAGCTCCAAGCTGAAATAATTGAACATGATGCCAGGAACTTCTTCGTCGACAGCCATGCAAACTTGATGGGTGAGCTGGACTGGACTAAGAGATCTTATAGCCGCCTGAAACACCCAGTGTCAGCCAACAGCTCGTGCAAGATCATACTAAATTGAATTATCACGCACCTTTCTCTTGTTCTTGATCGAGTCTTTTTCATCATTCGTGCTTGCGGACTCAAGCTCCCGAATTCCGTCGGAATCATGTTTCTTGTACCATCCACTGCTGTCGAGAATGAGATCAACCACTTCGACATTGAGCCCTCTTGAATCCGAGTCAACTATGAACGTTTGAGCAAAGGCCATAGATGCCCTAGCCTGGTAGTTGATGGTTCTGATACCAGCCCGAGACATCGGGATCTTTTTGTTCTTAGTGCTGCGATTGGGTAACCAATGCGTCGCTGAGATTCCCTTGGTGAGTGCAAAGTTTTTGGAATAGGCCTCAAGAGATGTTGGAGGATTTCCCACAAAGAATGCCGAGTTCCCTTGGATCTTCATAATGAATTCAAGGTCCGCTCTCTTCTCCTGTTCCTCAAGGATTCCTTCTTGCCGCAGCGCTTGATACAGCTGGACAGCATGCATCAAATTTCCCTTAGATGCGAACTCGATACCAAGCCGGTGGAATGCTGTTCTTATGTCGTGAACGTGTAGACCGCAGAATATCGGATTGTGACTCAAAAAGTTGGATGGCCTGGTTGGCAGACCACCAACTTGCCGTATGATGTTGAAGATATCTTTATCTGAGCCCCACTGGTCCACCGACATCAGGAGATCATCAATTGCCTCCTTGAAGTGGCGACTCCTCTTAAGCTCTGGTGCCTCTCTGACGACATCTCCAATCGAATTCGTGATCCTCTTCAAATCTTCCTCGCCCCTGCGGACTTCAGAACCAAGGGATTTGAGGATGTCTAGGTAGATCTGTGCGCCAAATGCAAGCCAGACACCGGGGATTTTCTTCGTCTGCATCATTTGCTTGAAACCTTTGACGAACTCGTCTTGAACTTGGATGCCCTTGAGCGTCGTGACGATGACATGCATGTCCGCAAAGAGCTCCAACAGAGCCGCTTTATCCTCTTGCCAGCGCTCCCGGTCGTCTTCAGCCTTGCGATCGTCTCTGTACCAGCCGAACTTTCCATTGTAAGAAGGACACGTGTCAGAGAGACCCTGTCCCTTGTAGGCGTTCAGGAGGCATAAAGTGTTATAGAAGAACATATTAGCCTCAGCGTAGCACCTGTAGTTGTAGTCATCGGTAGGTTGACGTTTATCCTCAGGATGCAGCCCCCGAGCTGCACATGCGCCCCCAAATACCATCGGGATAAGCTCTTCCACCCCACCAAGCTTCTTCAGCTGCGTGGAAACCTCATCTTCCATGCTATGAGCAAGCTTGATGGCAGTGTTTGTAGCTACCGCAACGGCAGCAAGATCTCTAGATCCAGCCTGATATTGTTGCCAAAGGCCGAATACTTCCTCACGAAGTTTGAAGAAATCCGCCAGAAGCGTCGACAAAATGAAAAGAGATTCCGTCTGTGTGTCTTCTTCCTCAGCCGCGTACTGAACATCGTCGAGACTGGGGAACACTGCGTCTGGAGCAGATAAGAACTCATCAGAGGGTTCGTAAACACTCAGAGATTCAAACATGTTGCCGTTCCGAAGCCTAGCGTTGTGCTTGTCATCGTTTTTGACATCATCCGTAGGTAGAGCGCTCCTCAAGCCCGACGTGTCGAACGAACCAATGTGGGACTTGAAAGTTTCTCGTACTTTCTCGAGGACCGAAATAAAATAAGCGTGCTGGGAATCCCCGGCAACGTCTTGGAACGATCGAAATCTTTGCAGAATAGCAGAAAACCGTCGACGGGATTCGATAACACGGTTTAGTGCCGCTGAGAAGAATTCCGGGACTGCGAGAGCCGCAGAAGCGACCTTGTCGGCCACATGCTCGGCTAGCGGAACGAAGTCTTTGATGGCAATGACGTGTTTTCGCTTTGAGCTAGCCGAGGCAGCAGCGGCCTTTGCCAACTTCTTTTTAGCCTCCATTCGAGCCCTGCCTTTCAGTTTCTTGGTGGCAGGGCTGTTTGCCGAACCATTGAGAGGACCAGAGTAGCCGGACTGAATTGCTGAGGATGCCAACCATGATGCCACCACATCTGTGTCTTGCTTGTACTGATGATAGGTTGATCGAAGACCAGCAGCGACCATCTTCGGCGTTCGTTATCAATGCTGCTGGATGGCGATGATGCGGTGAATTTCGACAGTGGTTGACGCAGGAAGATGAGAAGCTATCAATGGGCCTTGCGGCTTTGAGCAGGGCTGGTAGAAGTGTTGCGGGGTGAACTAAACACGGATGGGCGAGATTGCGAGATTCTCTTGACGTCGCGCGTGTGGGGGTTGGAACGATAATGTGATCAAAGAAAAAGCAACAATGAAGTGTGGATAAAAAGGCGGTCTGGCGAAATATACGTGTTTGGAGGTCACGTGGACCTACTCGCTCTTCGAAAGCTTGTATCAAATATGCCACTATTTACACCCCACAATCGTGGTGTAACTTTGAGATAGTATTGAAGTTATGCTATAGCAATTCCAGTGGTATCGCCCAATTCTGAAAATAAACCCGCCTTTTCCTTTTTGTTGATATCGATGGCATATATACCACCAGACAGGTCGGTCACATACACCACGCTCGCGTTCTTATCCAAAGCCAAACCGATCGTCTCATGCAAGCGAATCGCTAAAATCTCAATCTTTCCTCCCAGCTCCACATTTGCTCGGTTGAGAGAATTGCCAGTGGGGGGATCTCCGCGATCTGTCCAGTACAGCATACTGATCTCTTCGTCGAGTTCCAGGTCAATCGGCTCCGGCAGCTTCTCAAAGACCACTTCAATGTCTCGGACCAACTCGCTGGCGCCCGAAGCTGGCTCGATCGGCGCTCGAAGAATACGACCCTGGTTGCCCTTTGATGGACCTTTTTGAGTCCAGTAGAAGAGGCCTCGCTGCTCATCCACGGCAATGCCGACGCACCACCTTGATTGATCTAGCATATCTGCCTCGGTATTCCCTGTCGAAATAAGAATCTCAACCTCAGAACCATCGAGATTTGCTCGCATGACTTTCATGCCTTCTCTGTCGCACCAGTACAGCTTCTGGCTTCTCTTCGCGATGGTGATTTGTTTCGGTGTGAAGACACCTGAAGTTCCCACAGGAACAACAACTCTCCTGTCAGATCCATCCAAGTTGGCCCTTTCGATAGAACCACTGTTGGATTTGAAGCTTGATCCCATGTTTGTCCAGTACATGTGGCCGTTTGCATGGTCTATGGCAATGCCATCCGGTAGAGTATCAATATTATCAATGATCGTTCGAAGGTCACTCCCATCTGGAAGACAAGATAATATGCGTCCGGCCCGCGTGTTTTGATGAGGATGCGACAAATCCGTGTCAAGGATGTAAAGACGTTGCTGCGGTTGTGAGCCCATTGTTACTAAGTGTTTGAAATAGGCAGTGTTAAACGAATCGAGTTGACAGCCGTAATGAAACTGCCGTAATGATAGTCGTAATGAGTGAAACCTCCAGGCAAAGATAAGAACCAAAACAAGAAGCCGTTCCGCGTGAAATGTTCCTTTATAAAGACCACTTTTAAGTTGCGCGGCCGGTGTCTTTCAAGACGGATGATTCATTCGAGAGCAGCTCTACGAGTCGGGTTCCGTCTTGTAGAAAAAAGTTTTCAATTTGCCAGTTGCGAATGATTCACCAGGTTCGACTTATGGTTCCGTCCGTTACTCGGATTTCGCACCTCGGTCTTCACGACATACCCACTGTCACAGAATGCGGCGGATGTCTTCCTGATTGCGCGGCGAAATTCCGCGTGGTCCCGCTTATATACATGGATGTCCCTGGTTAAGGCCTTCATGTGGGACGTCATTGCCCAGTTGTGCCATGCCCATGAACCCCTCGCGTTTCGGTGCGGTTTGGTTTTCCAAATCCTTCAGTGCCATTCAACCACTAGTGTCTAGTTGTGAAGAGAGGTGAGTGAAAAGAGAAAGGTGAAGACGAGAATACTGAGGAGATCGTGAAAAAGTCTCTTAATAAAGATGATATATCAATTATAGTCTAACACTAATACACATTCTCACATGCCTATGACTGCTTGTCGGTTGACGCATAATCATCCCACTCTTTCCGAATGTTTAGCAATCTGACGAGTTCCTCGTCACGCTGCTTAGCCAACTGCCGATACTCCCTCCCAGCAACCCCGTTCATTGTTCCTTCCACCCACTTTTGCTTCAACTCATCTGTCACTTCAGGGTCTTTGGGCGCATACCAAGTCATAAGGGGACCTAAGAGATGGTCCGCCATATGCTTGATCCCGCCTTCGCCGCCCCCCAAGTGAAGCAACATGCTGGGACCCATGACACCCCACCGAAGGCCTGGCCCAAAGCTCATAGCTTTGTCGATGTCTTCTACATTGACAATGTCCTCCTGAAGAAGATACATGACCTCTCTTACTAACGCGGCTTGTAGTCGGTTGGCAACGTGGCCCACAACCTCTTTCTTGACATGCACCGGCTTCTTCCCCATGCGCTCGTAGAAATCCATCGTCTTTTGCACAGTCGATGCGGAAGTTTTGTCCCCACCCACAACTTCGACAAGGGGAATGAGATGCGGGGGGTTGAAAGGGTGGCCCACCACGCATCGCTCCGGCCTCCCGGAGGGACCCATGCCCTTTTGAATACTCGAGCATGTCAGACCGCTACTACTCGTTGCGATGATAGTATCGGGTCGGATGATTTCGGCCATTTCCATGAATAGCTTTCGCTTGAAATCAAGCTTTTCTGGCCCATTTTCTTGTACGAAGTCGGCATCCTTGAGGGCTTCGCGCATGTCGGTTGTAAATGTGATATCAGTCGCTTTGACATCCGATTCCTTCGTCAACCCCAATGACGAGAGAACTGGCAGGGCGTCGGTAACCAGATTGCGGAGGAAAGTCTCGGCGGCTGGATTGATGTCGAAGGCGACAACGGAGAGTCCTTGGGCCAGGAACAGTGCCGCCCAAGACGCACCAATCGACCCACAGCCGATGATGGCAACGTTGTGAATGTCAGGCATGATGAAAATGCTGGCGTGGTAGCAAAGGATGTGATTGGGTGATTGAGTACTTTGCAATTGGGCAGTGATACGGGAGGTGTGCTGGTGATTCGAGAACCGTGCTGGTAGTGCTAATGGCACGACCGGGACGCAGGCAGCAGGGCACAGAAAGGAGGTATTTATGAATTGGGAAAAAGTGGCAGAAATCGGATGAAACTTCGAGAACGAGATGGGATAGTCAGTGAATTTAACGAGGGAGTCAAGGTTACTTGGATATTTCAGATAGCTACACGGACGGAAGCCCCGAAAGTAACGACGTAGTCCGGGCCGATCCCGGTCGCGAGAGCGTGGAAGCTCGGCATGCCTTCGCGACCCACAACGCCGATGTCCCCGCGCTAAAGGTACCTAGGCAAGGGGCGTGCAGTTTGGTGGGGAGCGTGGCAGAATTCCGCCCGCGGAATTAGGGCGGCGGGCCTGCGACTCGTGCGCCATCTCCGGATCACCAATCTTGGCGATTCCAGCTCCCTGTCCGTGGAGTTTCTAGAAAACTTCTCTTGGCCTGTGACAGTCTCGTTGCTTTGCGGCAACGTCATTCCTGTTCTTCTCATGCCTTAGTCTGGTGTCTCGACCGCCGGCACTCGCGTCGACCAGAAACCTCCGACTTGCGTACGCCTTGCCTTGCAAGAGACTCAAACCTGGTTAACGTCATGCTCCGGGATGCACTGCCCCACATCATCGGTCCTCACGGCGTTCGCAGCCCTGATGGACGCAAGGGTCTTCCGACAGCGGCTGTTCCAATCAATCCGCACCGGTCACCGAGATATCTTCGTCTTTACTCCGTTTCCGCCATTGTCAACCATATTCCCACGGATGACCCGCCCTCACACGTCTTTGAGTATAAATCGAATAACTCCCTCTGGTCTTTAGCTTCCTAATATCCCAGGACTCTTAGCCATTGCAACTTGCAAGCCCTACTCTGCTCTATCGCATCCTTTTCTTTCCGTCTCGAAACCTTTCCGAATACACATCATAAATCATGACTGTCCAAAAGATCCCCGACATCTACGGCCCGGGTACCTTCACAGATAAAACATTCACCTCTGTGCCAGAAGACACCGAACGCATCTTTCGTCTTATCGCCAGCCAGACTCCCGGCTTCACACAAGATGAAAGGATTCTCTCCAAAGTTCAATTTACTGGGGAGTCGTACCCTGTCATCCCCGGACCTATCAAGGCGACTTCGGTAGCTGCAGCATTGCATGCTATGACTGGCGTCTTGGCCGACGAAATTCTTACTCTCCGCGGCGCTAAGAATGACGAGCGTCAGATTACAGTCAATACCACGCACGCTGCCATTTGGTTTGGTTGCATTGCAACTGCTTTCTTGGATGGCGTTGATGTTGTGAGCCTGGTTAAACAGGGCAAGTTGAAGGAGTTGCTTCCTGACTGGGAGCGAGGATGGACCGACACTCCTCTCAAATACCGCGCCACCGGTCTGTACCCTACAAGCGACCCCGAGGTTTGGTATTCGCTTCATGGGAGCATGAATGCTGAGCCGGTCCTACGATCTATTGGTGTAGACCCCTCCACACCCGCCAAGACGCCGGAGGAGGCCGCCCGGCTCATTGCCCAACACACATCGAAGCTCAGCCCAGAGAAGATGGAGATGACAAATCTTTTGAACGGATTCTGTGGCAGTATTTGCTTCACGCCCAAGCAATGGCGTGAATCGGAGATGGGACGTTCGCTGTCGAGACATCCCTTGGTAAACGTTCAGAAGCAAGAGCAGGCAATCCCAACACCTCCGGTAGCCTTCCCGCCTCTGGACCCCAACGACAAGCGTCCTCTAGCTGGTGTCAAAGTTGTAGAGATGACTCGTGTCATTGCCGGCCCGCAGATCGGAACAATTTTGGCTGCGTACGGAGCCGACGTGATTCGTGTGAATCCTCCACACTTACCAGACATCAACATCATGCAGTTGACCTTGAACGCTGGAAAACGAACAATCGCCATCGACCTACGCAAGGATGAAGACGCCGCCATTCTCAAGTCTCTTGTCTCGGACTGCGATGTTTTCATTCAGGGTTTCCGCATCAACAAGATGCCGAAGTTTGGTCTTGGCCTCAACGATCTGCTCAAGATGGCTGGTGAGCGCGGCCGTGGCATCGTATACGTCAGCGAGAACTGTTTCGGCCCTGACGGCTACTATGCTGAAAGGCCCGGTTGGCAGCAGATTGCTGATGCTGCCGCCGGTTCTGCTTACGTGACAGGAAAGTCACTAAATCTGTCCAACAACGAGGCAGTTCTTCCCAGTTTGCCTATTTCCGATATGTCAACCGGTGTCCTCGGAGCTGTTGGTGCCATGTTGGGCCTGAAGAGACGGGCAGTTGAGGGGGGAAGTTACTATTCGCATGCCAGTCTGACTGGTGTCAACGCTTACGCCCTGACCGAAGAGGTTGGGCTTTATCCCGAGGCCACCGTGGAAGAATGCAAGCAACGCTTCCAATGGGGTGAAATGAGAGGATCACACCACGTGCTAGATCTCCTTGTCACCGTGTGGAATGGATGGCAAAGAGTTCTTGGGGATTACCTGCAGCCCGAGAGTGACTGGTTCCAAAGCTTTCATGACAGCGCTTTCGACAAGAAGAGGTTGAGCATTCTGAAGCCTGTGGTCAAGTTCAAGGGCGAGCAAGACACAACTCCCGAATGGAAGACACCGAGCGTGCCTTATGCAAACGAGAGGGCAGAAACAGTCAAGTTTCTTTGATTGATGTAAATTAACCACATACTTGATTATATGTAATGGGAGCATGAAGTCTTCTTGTATCAGAACACCATTGATTTCTTTACTGGTGACTACAATGTCTCCGGCGTCACTGCAAAGCAGTTTGTTCTTTGAAGTAGGAATGCTATCCCTGAGTCCGGATCATTACATATTGGCTCTACCTATCCCCGCCAAGTCGTCGTTGAGCAGAGTATCCTTTTCAAATCCATTGACAACTTGGTGAAGCATCGCAGCGGATATCTCTTGGACACAGATGCTTGGCAAGGATGCAACCCATTTTAATGCAAACCCCATAGCCATCTTCATATAATCATTTGGTGCAGTAATCCAACCAGGTTTTGCAATGCACACCTCGACTTTTGGTCTGTGTTCTTCCGCGAGTGCGAGAATAGCACTTTCAGCTTCACCCTGTCAATTCGAACCTGGTTAGCAAATGATCTTTCGACCCTCAACGGAAAAGCGGGAGAGAAGAGGAGGGCAAAACCTGATCAAGCTTACTCGTAACAAGGAATATTTAGGCTTGAAACTGGGAGTCTTGGTTTGGTCACGCTCCGAGGCTATGCCGCTCATGTACACAAATCGAATAGGCTTCGAATTGGGGCCGAATGCTGCCTCAGATCGCGCATCAATCATGGCCTTTAGAGCCACAAGAGGTGAGCGGAGACAAACGCGTTGAACCTCGTCCCACTCATAGGCATCGGACCTTGACGGCGTGATTGCTACTGTCCTATCCGATAGATGCAATACATCATCAGTGCTTACTGTGCAATACCGTGACGTTGTATTCATTTTTACAAATAGAGACAGGGAAGATAGAGCCGGGCTAGAAGAATGATTCGCGACATGATAGAACTCACCAAATGCAAGCATCGGCATTCGCGAAGACTGCCTTCTCGTCGTCAGAGTAAGTGTCATAAGATCCAACCACAACAGTCGTCAGCTTTGATATCTCGGCAGCAGATGAATCTCCGTTTCCAATATCCACGGGGCGTCTGGAAAGAGCTATTATGGATGTGATGCTGGGTAGCCGCAAGCTCTGGCGGACGAGCTCCGTTCCCACAAATCCGTTTGCTCCAGCGATAACAAGCTTCATGTCAGGCGATGCTGGCTCCAAGGGTTTTTGTCTTTGGGATGAGGTCAGAAGATAGAAACCAGGCTGGGTCAGGAATTCTGGTCTGAGAAGCGGGGTTAAGAAAGTCGATATGCTTATGGAAGCCATCTATGATCCGGTAAGCACTAGCGAATCCTGCGATGTTTTGTCATCAGAGATCTGTAAATTCCAGTGTTGAACCTAACGCTAGGACCACCTGTGGCCTCTTGGTGCACGGTAGAGCCGCTTGGCGATAAGGATATACGGCCTGATGGTCTAGTGGTACGATTCTCGCTTTGGGTTATTGTCTAATGACAACTGCGAGAGGCCCCGGGTTCGAACCCCGGTCAGGCCCTTTTTGAGGGATTTTTGCTTACTGAAGCCGATACGCTGACGAATGACAAACTCGAATTCTGTCAGATCATGGGTCATCGTCTTGACCTAACCGACTCACTAGGCTCGACTTCTTAGGTTGTTGGGACGCGGCGCGGAGGTGCTGAGAGAGATGGCAGACTTTTGGCACATTCAAACCATCAAGAATTACTGGCTCGCTCGGCGCCACGGCAAGAAGGCACGACACGTAACGATGACAGTTGACTGGGTTGGCAACCCCAGTTTCTCCGATGTCAAGGAGGACTGCGTCAAGCAAAATCATCCAGCGCTTCTCAACGAGTGTTGGCATCGCATGAACAGACACAGCGATATGCGCCTAGACACAAGCCTAACAAACAATATGAATGTCCTGCCGGCGAAGTTTTCGAAGCAGAATTCCTGGCAGGCGTCGAGCATGATGGTGGTAGAAATAAGAAGCAGGGACCTGGATTGACGATTGGGTAAACCAGGGCGACAAATGGTGGGGCAGAGGAATCGAACTTCACTTGCAAGCTAGTGCCCTTTTGTGTTTTGATTGAATCGAGACCAGAGATTGGCCGCAAGCGGCGGAATCAAAGCGAGCACGAAATTTCGAATCGACTTTCATTGCTGTAAAATGGTTTCTGGGTTGAGGCTGCGAGCTGACGAGTTGGCAGTGCAGCAAGCCATCTTTCAGTTATCACCGTAGCGAAGAGCAGTGTTTCTTTTCCTCTTATCAACGGCCAAGTGCCTAGTTGAATAGCCAAGGCCGTAACCACCTACCGCAATTGTAAAGCCAAGCTACAAAAAACCTATGTGTGCGTGTTCAATGCGGGGATTCTGAGGCGGAGCTCGCAAGCCTCGCAGTAGTCCCAGCAGATAACTCGTCCAAACGACTATGCCAAGGCTGCCAAGGCCAGCGTGATAGTCGTCCAAGATCAACTTAGCTTCTTTTAGCAGCTGTGTTCCATTAGCCAAGCCCCGAGGTGGCATCAAATCTTGCGTGATTCTCTCCAGTCGGGTTTTGGCTGATGTGAGAATGAAAATAAGGTCTTGTTCTGAGCTCTCCGCACACCGTCTTTGATTGGCAATAGTTAACTTACAGATCTTGTTGATGCTTGGTACCTAACCCGTAATGGCAGAAGCGTGAGATATAGACTCCCAATACTTAAAGGCCGGCGGTGCCGCTTCATCGAAACGTGGTACCCAGGTGATTTGATCCTCATTGGCTCGTACAAGCAGCTCATCTCTCGGTAGCTCTCGCTATTGTCAGTTCTTCGGTTCGTTGAAATGGTGCACATTCATGCCGCAGCCGTCCTCGGCTGGTCTCTGTTGAGATTAACCAATGCGGCTGGGGCAGGTACGAAAGCAGAGTATGACTCTGGCGAAGTGCATCGCCGCATCATGGGAATCAAGATGGTGTGTGCGATCAATGCCCGATCAGAGTGCTTTAGCTGACAGACCCAAAGGCTCAATGGGAGGCTGAGATTGCCGCTGGCGATATGGATAGTTCTCAGTATCCTGAGCTCGGATATACCCCGTGTGTGAACGGGTTTGCTGAGGCGGTCCCTGGAGATTTTCACAATACCTTCAGGTGTAACAACGTAAGCCTATTGCACGCACGCATGTGGAAGACTTCTCATTGCTAATTAATGAAGATCGACCTTTATCATTTTCTCTCCCATGAAGCGCTTGGCAGCTGGGGTGGACGTGGCTCGTCTTCATGGGGCTGGACTTCAGCAGATGGTAGAGAATTCGTCGCCATTGGCCAATACGACGGCACCGCCTTTGCAGAGATCTCAAAGGAGGGAAAGCTGGTTTACCTCGGCCGTCTCCCACAATACGATCGAATCGGCTCGCAATGGCGTGAAATACGTATCGTTGGTGATATTGCCGTGATTGGGTCCGAAGCCATTCACCATGGAGTGCAGTTCTTCGACATGAAGAAGGTCCTTGATCTAGATCCCGCAAACCCGAAGAACTTCACTCAGGAAGAGCTTACTGGGCACTGGGACGAGCTCCCCATGGGGCGTACTCACAACATCGTCGTCAATCACGAACTCAACTATGCCATTGCTTGTGGCTCTGTGGGCGGAAACGAAACCATTCGGGTGCGAGGCGATCTGCCCTGTCGGGGCGGTCTGATTTTTCTCGACATCAGCGACCCAACCAACGTCACAAGCCCTGGCTGCGCTGCGGGGGATGGTTATGTGCATGATGCTGAGTGTCTAGTATATCGTGGCCCAGACCATCGGTACTATGGAAGAGACATCTGCTATGGCTACAACGAGGATACTCTTACCATCTACGACGTCACTGATAAGAACGGTAACACCACAAACATCATCTCAATTACGGACTACCCTGGTGCGCAATACGTACATCAAGGTGTCGTCAATAACGAAACTTGGCAAGAGTACTTGTTCATTGACGACGAATTCGACGAGAGGGATGCCAAGGTCGGCCCAATGACGCAAGGTCTTCCCACAACCCACATCATGGACATCCGCAACTTGGAAGCTCCAGTCTATGTAGGGCACTATGCTGGGAAGACTAGGTCTATTGACCACAACCAGTACATGGTGAATGGTTATTTGTATCAGTCAAACTACGGGAATGGGTTGAACGTGCTTGACGTCAGCAGTGTTACTAAGGACCCAACGGGTAGCAGCATCTGCGAGGCTGGCTTTTTCGACATTTATCCCGAAGATGATGAGAATGAAGGTGGTGGCACAGTTGCATTCCTCGGATCGTGGTCCTCGTTTGCCAACTTCAAGTCCGGCTTCATTTTCGTACACACAATCGAGCGCGGCAGCTTCGTGGTCAAGATGACATCCAAGGAATGCCCAAAAGCACCTGTCTGCAACGCCGATAATTGCCTTCGGGCGTTGCGGGCCTCACACATTCCTGATCGCCTAAAGGAGTCTGGAGAGTTCTGTGGCAATTACACCCAGCGCCTCAACACCGACGACATACTTGTGCCTGGGTATGCTGCCGAGGCATGCGGCGGAGAGGATAAGCATGTTGTTGCACGGGTTAGCAGCGCTTGTGCTTGTATCCCGACACCTGCTGTTCCGGAATTACCAAGAACTACTACTCGTCCCCCGGTTCCGACGGTGCTGCCCCCAAAGAAGCAGTAGTAGATGACTTGATGTCAAGCCGTCGCCCGACATGGTGCTGCACAACTTCCAGATTAGAGTAAAACTGAATAATGTAGTTCTTCATTCACGAGTCTCCCGTTTTCCCTGAGTTGCTCTAGAAATCCATAAAGCGAATCAAACATTTATAGTGCCAACTAAACAAACCACGTAAGATCTCCGTTCGACTGCGAACCCCAACCGCCAAACTTGGTCCTTCATCCTGAGGATATGAAATAACTAATGCAAGCGCAAGAAGAAGAATAGGAATTCAAGCCGCATCGATCCCCAAGCACCAATTATGATAAAGCTGTCAGCTTACCCATGACCATAATGGCCACAAATCTGGACCTCGTTGGCCATTTCCTTCAGAGGACTTTTTGGTGCAATTGAGAGAGTGGGAGACCGGCATGAACCTCCCTACAGCTGCGAGATTGAATTAGATACTCGACGTAACTACTGGAAAAAGTATTCACGAACCTTTGACCCCTACTTCATGCACATTGGGTCCTTCGTACGGTGGCTCTAGTACAAGTAGCTTCGGGCGGACGATCGCAGGTGTCACCTCGTGTGGGATGCGTACGACCATAGGAGGGCGTGACGAAGAAGAGGCAGATTTGCGGCTCGCCTTAGCGTGGGCTTGCTCTGGAGATTGTTGGTTGAATTGCGCCATCTTGACGATTTTCCTAGGATCAGAAGTTCGTGCGATGCGGCCAGGATTGTAGAAGAAGGCAGGCAGTAGCAATGGTGGGTTTTGGGCAGGAATTCCGGTGACTAATAGAACTGCCCAAACCATCTTAAGTGTCAATTTCAGGCCGAAAACAATGTTTGCTCGATCTCCCGGACATTGACTGTGCCGCCTAAGGGTGCAGGGGGTTCAACTGACCGGGACAGTCGGGACCCCACCACCGCCAACAGCAGCCATCTCCAGAACAAGTTCCTAGACCAGGGTCGACGCCAATAAAACAATGCCCATGAAATCAACGAAGCACGGCTCGTTGGCCGTGGACTTACATACGCGTTGCGGTGTCTACAATTTTGGAATGGAAAAACCAACAGTCAACCTACAAATGTTCCAGGCTCGAGAGCTCAATTAACGGCGATACGGAGTATTGCGTAGATCCATGTGCGCGCCCCCGCGCCAATGAACCATCACGTGGTTTCCAAACACTGTGAGTTCGGAAATGAGCTTTTGGGTGGCAAAAAAAGACTGCTGCGACGATTGGACGGGTTTACGAGGAGCTGTGGACCAATGTTGGTAATGAATCCCTGACCGTTTGGCACGAAGAACCAATCGGGGATGGGCCGGGAGGCTCTCTGCGGAGATCCTAGACGCCATGCTGCAGCGTTCAGGGGATGCCAATAATGATTACCGAAAGAACTTCTCACTGTTCGTACTCTTTGATGACGGATCTGCTGCATGACTCCTCATCACTGTCGCACACAGCTATGCGTGCCTGTGGCTTGGCAATATTCGCATCGAATGTCTACAAACAAGGAGTGACGTCTAGTTCAAGAGGTAAAGGACGCAGTGCTGTTCGTAACCAACGATCTCCAAGTGACGGCAAGCAAATGGCACTGCAGCAGGCAACAAATCGAACGAAGGTACTCAGAGATTGCAAAAGCAGACTGCTAAGTCGCGGCAGGGACCACGCCCCACTACGTTCAAGGTTGGCATTTACGTGGTGTGACAATTAGGCATCTTCCGAGGCTTCAACATGGGCCTCTTACGGTTGAATTCATGTCTGTGTGTGTGTGTTTTACGTCCGTGGTGCCTCGGAATCGAGTAAAAGACGCTCTGATGTCTATCTATTCCACGCAAGCATACAATTCAGAGTAGAACGAATTCTTGTCAATGAGCTGAAGGCGAAGCACAACCGCAGAAAATTATTTCCAAGTAGAGATGCGACGCTTGAACGAGCCAAGAGGCGAATAATCGCTATTTGTTTGTCTCATTCCGTCATTGCTTTCATGCATGCAAACAGAGAACACGAGTGTCGAGAATGAGCGGGTTACTCACCATTCTCTGTCTTCACTTGCGTCACAGCTTCCTCGAAGTCCGGAATTTCAGAAGCTCCTTTAGCCGCATGCCCCCAAACAATAATTCCACCCTCATTGACAGCCCAAGCTCCAGAGGTTTGCCAGCGATTTCCGCTCTCTGTTGGTCTATTTTTGATACCCTCGTTCCATGCCAGACTGAAGACTTCACTCAATTCTCCCGGGCTCAGGACGTGTAGGAAAGAGGATATGCCAAGGCCCCACTTGGCGTACACAGTGCGGTCTTCGTCAACGACGACGTCGACCGGACTGGTATCTCCAACTCCCCCGACTTCCGCAAGCCATTTCGACGTATGTAGCTCCGAGGAATGGGACACAGCGATGAATTTGACGTCGGGGTTTCTGCCAGCTGCGTCGCGAAGTTGAAGGAACGTCTTTTCGGCGACTTGTGTTATTAGTATTGAGAGTAGCCATGCAGCAGGGGTAGTGGACGTACATGGACAGCCGCAATGCCGGAGGAAGGCAATTACGGTGGGCTTGGAGTCGGAGCGAGGGAACGGCACTTGCAACGTAGTCGGCGCCGCATGTCCCAATGCCGGGGATGCAGAAATCGGGCCTTGAGCAGGGGTGATCCAAGACCAGAATTCTTGGATTAAGGTCATTGTGCTTGCGATCGTGCTGGCAGGTGGGCTATTCCACAAAGCTCAATCTGGCGCGATCGGGTAAGACGATAGCCGACCGCTCTTTAAAGTAATCATGATGCGGCTATGGATGGTTGGTTCGTGTGCGTCATCATCCTTGGCTAAACTCCATTAGGAGTAGCGGCGATCCTGGCTGCTTGTGGAGCCAAAACATGTCGACATGATACCTGGAGTTTAAAAAAGGGTCACCCTATTTTGATAACTTCGAGAAAAAGGGTTGCTATTGTAGCGAATAAAGACGGGGACACAATAAGAAAGCAGTGAGGCAGACGCCAACCGCGAAAATATCACACACGTTGAAGTCTAGCCGAAATCAGAGGTTTCCGGCTCCATAATAAAGACAACTAGGGCAGGTGATGGCTGAGACACAACTTGTGAATGATGCCACTATGCATATCCATAGATCAGGAAAACTCAAAGGTTATGTCTTGGGACACTACATGATACCCCTCTGTCCGTAGTCTCGTACATCCCAAGGAGGGTCAATGGTGGCCTTTCCACGGTTGCATACCTCTTTCAGCGCCGATTGCGCCTCTTCACTTTCAAAAGGGACACAGGGAATGCCCAGGCCGCCGTCGACTCCATCGCAGATTACCACCGCCTCCCCCCCACAAGGGCTCTGCACGTCAAATCCCTTGAACTTGATATCCTTGCACCGCCCCTCTTCATTCGTTGAGCAACTCACCCTTGCAACAGCCCTCCCCTTGCTCCCACTTGAGATACCCCGGAAGTTTTCGAAGAGCACATTACTGACCTTCATCTTGCTTGGAAAGCGGTTACAAGTTTCCGAGTCAACGTTGAAGTAACAACTGTCCAAGAAGATAGGCCAGTCATCATTCTCAGACCAAAAGTTTCGAAATGTCACATTCTCCACAAACCCAGTCGCGACGTTTTCCCCAGCCCAGACCTTGATGCGGGCACCATTGTTTCCGTTCAGCATCCAGACGTTCTCAATCACAACGTCCTTCACAAAAACATACTCTCCCTCATACTGTCCAAGGCTTCCCAGTGACTGCCCATGAGAGTTATTACAGTACATCGTATTGACATGGATGTCTGTATTATTGCTCTTCGGCGAGAAGCAATCGTCGTCTGAGTCAACCCAAACGCGCTCGATACGAATATGCTCAACGTTGAGAGAGTTGAAAAAATCGCCATTCTTTGGTTCGACTGTGGAATTGTTCGACTTTGCCTCAATGATGACATCGCGGTATGTGATGTATTTGGCTGAGGAAGTATTAGTGTCTGCGGCTGCATCTTGGATAGGAAGGTGGATTTACAGTTAACAATGAAATTATGCCAAACTGGAGAATCTTTCATCAGAATCCCCTCAACAGTCAAATTCTCAATACCCTCCGCATAAAAGAGAATGGGTCTTAGATAATCATTGTCTGGGTCCAAGATTCTGGTCCAAAGAGTTAGTTCCATGTTTTGCACGAGATTGCAGCTGCTCACTCTTGTCCAGAGAATTCATTCCACCACCTTTGCCCTTGGCCGTCAATGACACCCTCGCCATGGATCCATACGTCTTTACCGCCCCATTTCCAGAACATTAGTGATCTTTGAAACGGATGCTGATGAGCGTTGGCTTGCCAAAATTCGACGTCATCGGTAAACTTAATGGTTCCCTCAAGGCGGATGTGGATATCATGAAGGAATGTCAAGTCAAGCGGTTTGCCGATCACAAATGTCTGACCTGCAGGAAGATACACAGCCCCTCCATTATTCGCACGCATAACAGCGTCTAAAAAGTGATCAGAGACATCGTCAGTATCGTTCACTGATGATTTCGGCGTGAAAGATGCGCGGCATGGGATAGTCCTCTTGGGCAGAGGATGCTTAAGGCGAAACTCTTCAGCTGTACGAGGTATATTCAACCCTGACGTATAGAGGACGTTGCTCAGGATGACCAAAAGAGCCACAGAAAAGTACTTCATCTCGATGATAGCTTGCTGCCGTTGGGCCAAGTGTGAAATATTGAGCAACATAGAGTCTATTTTATAAACACCTGCGACTCCAGCAATCTCGTGTATCACAACGAGTCCACACCGGTACACTTTCCTACTTGGTGACCAGGGCTTTGGTTGCCCAGAACGTTATGTGGGCCATGGTATCTTGGAGCAGAGTCCTCGACGAGTTGATTGATGGAGTCTTATTCCTTCCTTCTACCCGACCTTGGCGGTTCTTGGCACGGGGAATCTTTCTCCTGACGTCTGTCCCCACAGGCATGCGCAATGCCTAGACTCTTGGAGGCTGATTTCATTGGCACTTTCGGGTCTCGGAAGCCTGCCTAGAGCCGCCTATGGCCACATTGGCATAGATTCACTCCAATGCGCCGGGGTAATTTCAAGACAGGGGCCTAGCTTGAATTCCAAAAGAAACAGCACGGTATGAATGAACGTACGAATTAACCAGAATTACGACATCAATGCAAATCATAAGTTAACATAAGGTGCTGGATTCATTATCCCAACCCCTCTCAGCTTGCTCGTATGCGTCGTACGCAAACAACCAGCGCTGGGCTTCAGGGCAAAAGAACCTAATTGGAAACGGCCCGCGTATCTCAGCTCCCAGCTGTCCGACCATGTATTTGTCCCTCTCCCTCTGTTCCTCGCCATCGGACAGATGGAGTTCATCCCGTTGGCGGAATGCCTCCTCCTGGATCCAACGGGTTCTGTCGTTTCGCAAACGCTGATACACCTTCGCAACCACAGGAAGAAGCTTGGTCTTGTTTGCTTGTGACACCTTGCCAAGTAGGTGTCCTAAAACGGCGCCGTCCTCTAGACTCGAGTTTGCCCCTTGCGCTAGGTATGGTAGCATTGGATGGCAACAATCGCCTGCCATGAAGAAAGTCCCGCTTTCATTAGCCAACTGGGACAGAGGCTTGGCCCACATTAGCTTCCACTTGGTCACCTCTTTGCTCGCCCGTAGAAACTTCAGAAGCAAAGGGTCCCAGGGGAGTGCAGAGCTGATCTCGGCTTGAGTCCCACCAGTCCTGGACACCCCATCAGGCAAGTCGTCCGGTCGAAGAAAGACCAAGTTGAACATGGTGCCTTCACGCAAGGAATACCCTACAACGTGGGAAGACGGCCCAATCCAGAAATTCAAAGCAGGACGGCTGATGAAATCTCGTAGCTCGTCCTTATCAGGACCGCTGAGCTCATCAACGGAGATGAGAAGCCGGTACGCCAAATCTCCCGTCGCGATAGGCGGATGGTCCTTCCCCGCGAACTCGCTGCGAATCGTGGACCACAGGCCGTCTGCGAGAAGAACAACGTCCCCGTGGATTATTGAACCGTTTTCGAGAGTCACTGCTGCATCGTTGAATTTGACTGACTTTACTGAGGTGCCAAGCTTTATAGTCACACCCAGTTCGTCAACACACTTGGCGAGCATGGCGTTTTGCAGGTCAGCTCGGTGGACATCAATAATCGAGGCGCCACAGCGGCGTTGTAAGAGCTGCTGCAGGAAAGGCTCATGTGCTAGCAGCCTCGAGCCGTCGTACCGTCTTACACTCATGGTGTCCGGCAATGCCGTAGGCAGTTCTTTCATCACATCCCACTTCTCAAGGAGACGTACGCCATTGGGAGTAAGCTGGATGCCCGCCTGCGAGTGTATGAGTTAGATGCCATCGGCCTGATGTCTCTGCAAGATGTGTGATCCAACTAACGCCAACTTCTCTGAGTTCCTTTGCAGATTCGAAAATAGTTACTCGATGTGATGTGTTGGCAAGCTTGATAGACAAAGCAGCTGACAGCCCCGCGAGTCCTGCACCGACTATGATAACGTGAAAATCGTTTTCGAGGCTCATTGGTGACGCCATGCTGGACACGATGCATCCAAGTAGGATCAAGTCACAAGTGTAAACGTCAATAAACTTGCCATCTGGCCATAAACCGAGGACTCGGTTAGCGGCACTAGACTCTTCGCACAGACGCACGATGACGGAGTTTCAGCGTATGTAACGAGGATTGTAGAAACTTTATGAATACGAACCGGGTCTAATCAATCAATTGGAATTCCGCAGGAGATAAGAACATGAGTGCATCGTCGCGACTATAAGGCAAGAACTTTCTGTTTTGCCAGAACGGGCGTTAAAGGAAAAGGGAGTTGCCTGCATTGTTCGTCTCATAATGCCGGCTATGATTTGCTGGTACATGTCGCGTAATAGACTTTACCCTCAATTTCACAGCTTTTCCAGCTTACGGAGTTACCCGCCGTAGCCTTCTGACTCGCAAATTTCCGAATGCACTGCTAATCCGAGTGCTCGAAGATGGCCGGGCATTAAGTTTGGGCACGTTCTTCACAATGAGACACATTGGGATGAGCGAAAAACAGCAAATAGTCTTCCAAAGAAGCCTAAATTCTGTAGAGAATTGAAACGATAGGAATATTTGGATGTTGTACTCACAGCTTACCGCTTTTGGACAATTCCTTGCGTACTGACGGCATACCGCTTTCGGCCATAACCTTCGATGGTCATAAGTTTGGAGTAGGACATCCCACAAGGATGGTTATGCTTGCAAGCCGAAACCTAGCCGAACTATCCATCCGACTGGCAGGAGCATGCCTGGGTGGACCCCGCGAGTTCTTGGAAATGGGAACCTTATCAAGCTATTCCAGACGCCTGCTGTTAAGACGGCTGGGAATTTCCCGTTGCTAAACCATTGCCACATTTTGAAGTTTTGTAACATACTCATAGGCCTGGTGCGTGAAACCGTACTTATTCTTTTTCTAGACTTTTCTAGACTGAACTATTGCTACATGGACTATAGCATTACCTCAACTATGCCCACCAGACTTCTGACTGGCCAAATCTTGTTGATCCTCAATCCAGCCCTGGTGACCAGATCTTTGATTTCGGATGCAGTTCTCTCGATCCCATTATTCTCTGCCATCATAATCATTCCGAGCACATGGTTGTATTGGCACCAATAGCCATAGTTGGCAGGCAACAGATCCGGAGCCGAGGGCACATCTGGAGATCCGCAAGTAGTATTCAGCACGCAATCAGCGAGGAGGATCCTCGAATTGGGTCTCATGGCGACCTTGAGCGCTTTGAGAATTTTGAGGCACGGCTCATCCGACCAATCATGCCTTGCGACCGTTAGCTGTTGTTGCAGGCTCTGAGGGACAGAGGACTTACAGGATGCGACGAAGCCAATATACGTCTGCGCCAACAACAGGGTTAGGCTGGAAAAAGTCGTGGTCCATGAAGGTGACTTGGTCATCTTTCAATGCCCACGGCGCATGAATGGGAAAGACTTCATTCTTTCCTTGACTGATAACTTCAGGACGGTCCTGCACGATGAACCGCAAGTGAGGGTGGGCTTTCAGCATTTGAAGTGCAAAACCTCCTGAATGGACATTAGCCAATCAAACACGTTTACTTCATTAGAAGGTTGCGAGCGTTGCGTACCAACCCCGCCACCCACGTCTACGACGGTGGCACCGTTTCCGAGGTTGCTCCAGGGATAGTCCAAAACATGAGCGGGACTATTGACCGATCCGCTACCAATCATCGCTTTTCCGAAGTTTGCCAGTTCAGGGCGGGATATCAACCCGTTGGAGTCTGGCCCCTCCCAGTTGCCGTCTTCAGGCCTGGAGAAGAACCCCGGGTAGCCAGTACCGCGACCTCCACGTTCGAGCTCCTCAACTGTGACTTTCTCGGCGAACCAGTCGAACTGCGTCTTGTCCGTGCCTAGCGCGATCTGGAACGCTGTCTCGTCTTTTTCATAAGAGGATCCAGTCGGACCCAGAAGGTATTTACCTAAGTACTCAGATGTGAATGAGTGCATGCTCCTATGTGAGTTTTCGCAAAATCAGCCTACGCCCTTCAAAATACTTTCTATATGATACGTACGCTAACTGCACCAGAGCCCTCAGCGGCTCATTGTCCACTAAGACTTGTGAAATGCGGTTGTTCGTGAAGCGGTTCTCTTCAGGCTCATTGAAGATGTGAATGGTACACAAGGTTCGCATGAGGCGAGCTGTAATAGACAAGGATCCCACTCGTTAGAGGGCCTCCACAAGGCCGTTGCCAGTTATCTGTTCCGCTTGGGCTGAACTTACCAAGTTTGCGAGACTCAATCCCGGTACGCTCTGACAGCATACTGACGTGGATTCCTTGCTTTCCGGCGGCTGTCAACTTGTCTGGAATTTTCATCTCAGTGGCTAGAATTAGTGCTCTCGCTTGGACAGCCAGAGTCATAACTTGCTGGATCCTGTGAGAAGGCTCTGCCACGAGCGCTATGAGTGTGCCGGCGATGGCCTCGATTCTTCTTTGAGCCTCGAACAAATCCGGACTGGGCACTGTTTGCTGTGCAGAATCCTCCGTGACAGACGAATTACGTTCCTTCTCCCATTGTTGCGTAACGGTGAGCACGGATTCACGGAGTAGGTCAACAAGCCCCAAAAGCTGTCGAGCCTCCGATTCAGAGCCTGGAGATCGTGACATGATGAAGTGCAGAGTGACAGTTGTCTAGTCTGAGGTTTAAGAAGACTTGCAGTAAGATGGGAGAATGATATCGCGATCTGAACTGAAGACGAGATGATCATACAGCCAACCACAAAGGAAAATCTTGAATTTAAATGCGAATATGACACCTGTTGGCAGAAACTTCATACCGTGGGAGTGTGGGTGAGAGGAAACTGTAGTCCAGAGGAGGGCAACAGATCGACAAACCATCGGCTTAGGAGCCTGGGCTCGTCACTTGGACCGTGGGCGCGGCCCGGGATGGTGTACACCCAATTCAGCGAGGCATTTTCTGTGTCGGGAGCCCCCGAACCTAAGCCCGGACCACTTCCTGTTTCAGCGAGAACGAGATAGAAGCCTGCCTCGGAGCTTGTGAATATCTTTGGTCATTCGGTGGCACGTCTGGCGAAGTCTGAAGCAACCTTGTAGACGACCCCAAAACATGCTGCCGCCTGTGTAAAC